AGGATGAGGAAGGTTAAGACTGACTCTCAGGTGAAAGTGCCAAAACTGGGGAAGGCTAATTAAAACAATATTAGGCAGAAATCCTGGGAGGCAAATCCTGTTTGAATGAGAATTCAGGACGAGTATGTTCCTAGGTGGGTGAAAGGTAACGATGCAAGATTTGGGAAAAGGAAGCAGGAAAGAACTTAAACAAGGAATTATGAGGGCTAAAAGGGACAATGAAATGTCTTTGACAAGTAGAGTTAAGGAGAATCCCAAGCATTTTAAGGGTAATTAGGGAAAGGGTAGGCCCATTCAAGGACAAAGGAGAGAATTTATACATGGAGCCAAAGGATGTGGGTGAGGACCTTAATGAGTACTTCACATCAGTATTCGCCACGTGGATGGTGGTAAGACTAGGGTCGGATATTGTTGATATTAAGAAGGAGGAGGTGTTATGTGTCTTGAAGAACATTAGGTAAGTCCCAGAGGCCTAATTACAACTATCCCAGGATACCGAGGGAGGCAAGGGAGAAGATTGCTGGGATCTTGGCAGAGATCCTTGTTTCCTCTTTAGCCACAGACAAGATCCCAGAAGACTAGAGAATGGCCAATATTATTTTGTTGTTTAAGAAGGGCAACAAGGATAATCCAGGAAATTACAGGTCAGTGAGTCTTACATTATTGGAAAAGATTTGTAGCAACAGGATTTATTAGGGATAGTCAGCATGGCTTTGTGCAGGGTAAGTTTTGTCTCACAAACTTGATTGAGTTTTTTGAGGAAGTAATAAAGATAATTGATGAGAGTAGGGCAGTGAGTTTTGTCTACATGAACCTTACTAAAGCATTTGACGAGTCCCTCATGGTAGGCTGGTGAGAAGATTAAGTTACGTGAGATCCATGGTGAATTGATAAATTGGATACAAAAGTAGCTTGACTATGGAAGGCAGCGGGTAATTCTGGAGGAGTGCTGTTCTGACTGGAATTCTCTGGCAGGTGGTGTTCTGCAAGGATTAGTGCTTGCTGGATTAGTAAATTTGCAGATGACATGAGGATTGGTGGAGTTGTGGATAGTGAGGAAGGTTATCAAAGAATACAGTAGGATATAGATCAGTTGGAAAGTTGGACAGATAAACGGCTGTTGGAGTTTAATCCAGACAAGTATGAAGTGATGCATTTTGGGCTTGCGGTGCATGTTCATAGCTCCCTGAAAGTAGCAATACAAGTGCATAAGGTGATAAAGATGGCATACAACATGCTTGCCTTCATCAGTCGAGGCATTGATCTTAAACGTTGGCAACTCATATTGCAGCTGTGTAAGACTTGAGTTGGGCCACATTTGGAGTATTGTGTGTAGTTCTGGTCACCATTCTATGGAAGGATGTGGAGATGGTGCAAAATAGCTTTACCAGGATCAAAAACAAAGTTGCTGGAAAAGCTCAGCAGGTCTGGCAGCATCTGTGAAGGAAAAAACAGAGTTAATATTTCGGGTCCGGTGACCCTTCCTCAGTTCTTTCGGTTTTATTTAGCTTTACCAGGATGTTGCCTAGATTGGACTGTATTAGCTATAAGGAGAGATTGGTTAATGAATTCAGGCTATGCTTTGTAATTGTTCACATCCCTTCCCAAAGCTATAATCGAAAAACATGCAACATATAAATGACATCTGACGGAGTCATCACATTATGGAGAGATTTTCTGGAAATTGGAAATTCACGCATGTCTGTGAGTTTTCCTGGAATAGCATTTGCAAAAGGTATTCTTCAGGATAAGTGAGAATATCATGTGAGTAGGCAAGTAGCTGTGCAAAGATTTATAGAAATATTCTAATGCAGCAGTTCATGTGTTCAAATCCATCCAATGCTTTTCATTTGGTTGTGGTGGTGTACAGTAATATTTTTAGCTCCCTCTGCAAATAATAGTCCACTTCACAATTCATAATGTTAGGGACTTGGATTCACCAGAACGCCATTAGGCATTTGAGCAAGGCCACATTTCAACATTTAATTGTGCCCCAAGCACATAAAACGATTGCATAGTAAGTCTGAAAATCGATATGGAATGGCAAGTCAGATCAGAACAATTTGAAAGCCAGATTGTACTTAGCAGGATCTATTCACATTATGAATGCAATAATAATGTATTAGGTTAAACTGCACATCAAATTGGAATAAACTTCCTGCAAGCACTATATTTATTGCATTGATTAACCCACTTCTCTCCATGTTCTTTTAACACAATTAGTTAGTAATCAAAATATTATGTATTAAAATAAAGAAAATAAATTTTATTGTAGTATGTTAACCAGTGTACTGAATATAAAAAATTCAATGAAACTTGAGATCTGAGTTTGTAACAGCACACTTTTGTCTTAATAAGTATGTTTTACTTAAGATTTTTATTTTCATGGTGTGTAAATGATACAAGATGTTTATGCTGTTTTCAAAGTCCTTTTCTGGATTCTATGCACAAGAATAATTAATGGTGTATTTCGACTATTTGCACCAACTCAGGACTTTACTCTACGGTCCTCCACTAGTGTGTTCCAAAGTGAATTGCATGGCCTGCCAGCAGCCTTTCTACCCATTTTGTGGGCCTAAAGAGCCTTATCTTATAGTCAGGACTGTTTTCTCTATAGCAGAGAGAATCTAAGCTCAAACTGGTTACGAATCCAATTTACTGTGAAAGCTGGCATCAAGCAAGAAATTAAGGGAGAGCCTCCTTTTAGTGTCACCATTCTCCCTCCTCAACGTTCTGCCAAGGCTATACTGCTCCTTTAACCCAAACACTCGGCCTCCCAAACTTTAGTCAGCTCCCTCAACACACTTGCTGGGACTGTGAGTTGGGCTCCTCTCACATCCTGCATTTATCTTTAGTTCAGATTCCATAATCTCTTCTTTTGGCTCTGACAGTACTCCTAACAGTGACCATCTCTCAAACAAGAACAACCATTTGAGGGTAAATCTGCAGTAGGACAGTGGGAGGTATTCAAAAAGGTATAGAGGATGGTGGGACGGGAGGGAGTACAGGCCCAACATGTTGCTTTAGGGTGAAATGCAGGAGCAACAGGTTCAGAAAACTAGGAATATTCAGGACTGGATAAAAAGCAAAAGAGAGACCTTAACAGTACAAAGGGAGCAAAACAAGGGGCCCTAGAGAGTACAGGAAGTGCAGGGAAGATCTCAAGAAAGCAATTAGGAGAGCAGAGCGTGAGTATGAGAAATACTGGCAGGCAAGATTACGAAGCATCCTAAGATATTTCTACGTCTATCACAGGGAAGAGAATAACCATGGAAAGGGAAGGCCCATTAGAGACTAAGGGGCAATCTGTCTGTGAAGCTGGAGGACATTGATAGTAAATTTGCAGATGACATGAGGATTGGTGGAGTTGTGGATAGTGAAGAAGGTTATCAAAGGATACAGTAGGATATAGAGCAGTTGGAAAGTAAGTAACTAAGTTAAATAAGTACTTCACATCTGTCTTTACTGGGACAACAAGGATGCAAGATGAAGAGAGGCTGGATAAGGTTGTTTTCTTTAGAGCAAAGAAGAATGTAGGGGTCCTGATAGAGATGTATGAGATTATGAGGGGCACGGACAGGGTGAATAAAAAGCAGCTGTTCCCTTCTTTAAAGGGTCAATAAGAAGGGGACATAATTTTAAAGTGAACGGCAGGAGGTTTTGAGGGGATTTGAGGAAAACATTTTTCACCCAGAGGTTGGTGGGGATCTGGAATGCACTTCCTGAGAGGTTGAGGCAGCTAACCTCACAACCTTACCCAGGCACTGTTAAAAGTGATTTTTTTCGTGTGTGATGTCCTGACCAATCTTTTATTCAGGAGTAAAGTGGGAAGTGGTCACGTGCTGTAAAATCCAGCCCTCAATCTCACTCCAGAGACTGGAATGCAAGGTCCAGGCTAACACTCCAGTTCAGTGCTCAGGGCAAATGATACAGTAAACTTGAGAACCTGACTGGCCAATCATTTCCATGTAAAAGGTCCCATGGCACATTTTGAAGAAGAGTAGAGAAGTTATTTCTCATATCTTGAGTACTATTTAAGTTAAACACGTCCATTAAAAATAGATGTATGGTCATTATCTCATTGCTGTCTGCTGGGAATTGCTATGCACAAAATTTAATGTATTTTGTTAATCCTAAAAAGTCTTTCACATCATCAAGATGGTGGCAGAGTAGAGCTCCTGAGCTGGGGCTCGTCTGCTACAACCACTTTTCTGGTTTTTTTACTTACCTCTCGTCCTTTAGCTTGGATGGCATTGGCAGCGGTGAGAAAGCCCAGCACAGACTCGAGTGGGCCCATGCAGACCTTGTGGTGGGCAGCAAGTGAGCCGCTACTTATTTTTCTGGGGCAAGCGTGGGACCTGGCATCGGAATCAGTGAAGTAGGCCCGGTGGTGAAAGATGGCGCCTGCCCATCAACAACTTTGTTGTTGGTTGGGCCTGGCAGTGGCGGTGATGAAGCGGTGGCAGAAGGGCATCATGGTGACATCGTGGCTTGCTGAGTGGCAAGAGATGTGACTCTGACATTGGTGGCTATGAGTTGGTGGCAGAGAAGAATTGACCTAGTGGTGAAAGATGGAGCCTAAAGATCAGCGATCCAATCGTTGGTTAGGCCTGGCGACGGCAAAGTAGTGAAGTAGGGACGGCGGTGCCGGCATTGTTGATATCTCAGAGCTGTTTCAGAACTGATGGACACTCTTTAAGCTATATCTTCCTATTTCTTTTCTCATTCTTAAGACTTTTCGAAATGGTGCCAGAACATGGTGACAGTAGAAAAGCTTTTCACTGTAATTTATTGCTTTTCTCACTGTAAAATACACATGATAGTAAAATCATTCATTCAATATTTAGAATTGAAATATATGTTAATATTTTAAAAGTTACAGTTAGTAGGCTATTTGCTACCTTACTTCTTTTAAATGTTTATGATTTTGTCTACGTGGAAACTAATTTGCTTCTTTCGCTCTAAACTAATGAATTGTTGTGGGTTTCTTCTGCTCACAGGAGATGTTGTCGACAAAAATCAGTGTAGAGAAGCTATCTATCCAGTTCCTGTATTGTGCAATGTCCCATGTCCAAGAGACTGTGTTCTTAGCAAATGGTCAGAATGGTCATCTTGCTCATATACTTGCTCTGGCAAGAACACCGAGGGTAAACAGATGCGCGCACGCTCAATTCTTGCATATGCAGCTGAAGGTAAGACATCAATCCATAAACCAGTACAGATTCTTTTATGCTCTTTTCATGAAAAGAACAAATAATTAATGGTTTAATTAAAACATAATGAACATTATCCACATATGTTCAAGCTACTAGATATCTTAATAGAAGTTATTAATCGAGTTGATAGAAGTACTTACTGTAATAAGGAACAGCTCTCAAGAGATTCAGGTGATGAACAAAACTATAGTTCTACTTGTGGCTCTTGTGGCATAGGTAGTGCCTAAATCCAGGTCAAAAAGTCCAGGTTCAGGTTCCATCCTACTCAGAGGTGTGACTTAAGGAGTCTGAACAGATTCATTAAAAAATATTTATAGTTACTACTCCAATTCTACACATTTGTGTTCACTTTTATCTGGGAATCTACCAAGTTATACTTGCCAAGTCACCTGATGGTCTGTAAATGTATTGACGACATCAAATGATGATGCTCAAAGAAATAGGAGATGATTTTTCTGCTGTTTTAACTGTTATAATTCAATACTGTAGAACTGGTGATAACATAGAGTCCTAAGTTAACAGCAAGAAAAGAGATCCTTTGGCCCATTGTGTCCATGCTGGCCATCAAACCTTTATCTTTTCTAGTCCCATTTTCTGGCACCTGGTCCATAGCCTTGTATGGTAAGGCACTTCAAATGTTTGTCTAAATATCTCTTAAAGGCTGTGATGGTTGCCATTTCTACCATCCTTTCAGCCAGTGGGTTCCGGATACTTGTCACTCTCTAGGTGAAAGGAGTCTTCCTTAAATCCCCTCTAAACCTTCCCTTAATCTATTCCCCCTTTTATTAACTCCTCAAAGGAATATGTTTCTTCCTATCTACCTTACCATATCTATGCCACTTGTGATATTGTACACCTCAATCAGGTCACCCCTTAGCCTTCTCTGCTGTAGGGAAAATGACTCCAGCTTATCTAGTCTCTCTCATAGCTGAATCAGCCCAGTCCAGACTGCATCCTGGTGAATGTCCTCTGCGCGCTCTCTACTGCAATCTTAACCCTTCCGATAGTGCATCAGGTTCATTGAGTCATAGAGTTCCCACAGCATGAAAAAGGCCCTTTGGCCCATCACGTCTTTACTGGTCATCAAGCATCTACCTATTGTAATCCTATTTTCCAGGAATTGGTCCATAGCCTTGCATGCTCTGCTGTTTCAAATGCTCATTTGAATATTTCTTAAATGTCTTGATGATTGTTAAAGTACTCCAACTATTGCCTAACTAATGTCTTAAACAGCTCCATCATAACCTCCCTGCTGTGGTATTCATTGCCTCAACTAATGAAGGCAAGTATTTCATCTGCCTTGACCAAGGTCCCTCTGAACCTTCACTTCCTAGGGTCCTTTCATTCATCATCATATTGCACTTACTGGCAAATTTGTTTCATTTATAAAAGCAGCAGACGTACCATGATTTAATGGCTAAAAATTATTGAGCCTCGCTGTTTCATCTGTCATTGAATATTTTTAACGACTAAAATTTTATTCCAGTTGAAGAGCTGTAAGCATATTGCCTATTGTGAATTTTTTGAGCCAAACTTTTTTTAATTCATTCATGGGATGTGGCCTTCACTGACTGGTCCGGCATTAATTGCCCATCCCTAATTGTCCAGATGTCAATAAGGAGTCAGCCACATTGCTGTAGGTCTGGAGTCACGTGTAGATCAGAAAGAACAGATGGGTTTTACAATAATGACCATAAAAACCATTGGACACATAGTTCTAGATAGTTATTGAATTCAAATGTCACCATCTACCATGTGAGATTTGAACCGTGTTTCCCAGAACATTACCTGGGTCCCTGGATTAATAGTCTAGTGATAATACCACCACATCATTACCTCCTCAAACTGTACATGCATATTCAAAAAGTGAGTTTCACAAATTAAATACAAAGAAGTTCCATTATCAAACATTTCACAAAGATGATTAAATGTCACACAATGAGCTGAAACTGCCGATCTGGGTCGGAATTCCTATTTACTGGCGCATGCCTTCTGTCTATGCCTCAGCAACAAACATCTTCCTGTTGGAAGACCTGGACCTTTGATTATTTTGCCCTCACCACCAATTATCGCTCTCCTGAATCTTCCCACTGGATGATAATTCACACACCACACTTAACAGAAAAAAATGGATGAAATGCTTGTTCCAAAGCTGGACTTATTAAACTTAATAACTACTCAGTAATAGATCGAAGAGTTTGGATTATTTTATCAAATTCAAGTGTAAGGAATTGATTGGGCTGGATTCCCGTATGAGTTTTGCAAGTCCGATGTTGGGCCCAAATGGGATGTCAAGCCCAAATGTGTTGACAATTATACTGGTGATGCAGTCCTGCAGGACACAGCCTGCTAACTGACCACCTCCACACTTGACATTAAGTTAAAGATGGTAGTTGGGTCCTGAGGCCAGAGGACCCATCAGAGAACCAGCTGCTTTGGAGCTTCCACAGCTCCTCTCTGAGAGTGTATGCTGCTGAAGCAGATTGGAAACCATGAGGATGCTTCAACATTGAGACTCCATCACTGGCCAATGCAGAAGGGCTATATTGAAGATTCCCAAATCTGATAGTGACATCAAAGTGGTGGTGAAGCTTCTCTGCAGGATTGAGCATGGCTGTAATCCTACATCCACACGGCCTCACACTTGCGATGTGGACCATTTTAATTTTGATGGCTCCTTGTCCTGCTGAAGGAAGTTCACTTCCATTGAGCTGAGTGTCTCCACACGTGGTCAGGAACTTCTCACCATTGGAAACACTCCAACAAGTGACAAAAACATTTCAGTTTCGTTGGCTGCTCATCTCACTGGAATGGGCAGCTGATGCTATTATCATGCCAACCCTGCAAAAGTTCCTTGATGATGCGAATGTTTTATGAAACCCATCCTGACAGGGGTTGACTCCTTTTTTTCCCAGCTCCCCATCTCCAACTCCATCTCCATAGGCTTGAGAAAATCAAACTCATTGTATGTACAATTTATTTGTAGTCACTCTGTTTTTCCAGTTATTTGCAGCATTAAAAGCTAATGAAATATCAGTCAATAAAAGAGCATTAAATACAAAAAACACTTTAAGTATTGAATCTGGTGGCCAGCTATAAATTGTTAACTTTATTTCCTTTTAATTTTAAAACATGGTGAGTTACTGCAATAAAACATTAAATACATTTTCACAAAAAAGGACTTTTTCTAATTAAAGATTGAACTCAGGTATGCAGCTGTTGAGATATCATCTAAAAATATAAAAGTTGCAGAAGTCTATGTGGCCCATTGAGCCTGCCATTCAAAACATTTTGTTTCCTTGAAAGTCCGAAAATCTATCTATCCCAGCCTTAAAAATATACAGTTGTGGCACATCCACAAACCTCATTGACTAGACAATTTTAATGATTCATAATCATTTCAGTAAAAAAAAAGTCTTCATCTCAGTCCTGAATGATTGGCCATTCATCCTGAATCTGAACTCCCTTATCCCAGACTCCCCAGCCTAAAAAAGCAGCAAATAACTCACCTCTCATTTCCCCAGTGCCAGTCCACCATCTACAGGTACACATATTAGGAATGTTGTGAAGTGTTCTCTGTTTACCTGGATGGATGCAACTCCAACAATGCAAAAAGCTCAACATCATTCAGAAGAAACCAACCCACCTAGTTGGCACCCTATCCACCACCTTCAAACTTCACTCACCTCACCACTGACTCACGGACACAGCAGCGTTTACCATCTGCAAGATGCACTGCAGCAACTCACTCAGGTTTCTCTGACAGCACTTTCCAAACCCACGACCTCTAAAACCCATAAGGACAAGGGCTGCAGATGCATAGGAACCTCATCATTTTCACGTTCTCCTCCAGGACACACACACCGTTTGCTGAAACTATATCACCATCCTTCCACTGTCACTGGGCCAAAATCCTGGAACTCTTCCTTAATAGCAATTTGGATGATCCAACCCTACATGAACTGCTGCAGGTCGAGAAGGTATCTCACAACCACCTTCTCAAGGGTAATTAAGGTTGGACAATAAAGCTTGGCCTAGCTAATGATGCCCACATCCCATGAATGAATTGAGAAAACAGCCAGCGGAAAAATTAGCTCAGTATGTATCCTTCCAAGTCCCTTTAGAATACCAAATGTTGCAATGCGATCACCTCTCCTGCTTAAGAGATTACAGACCCAATTTATCCAGCTTTCCAAAGGACAAACGTTTTTTGTCCCAGGGACTGTCCTCTAAATCTTTGCTGTACTGTGTCCATTGCGAATATATCCTTCCTTCCTCAAAGACAGAGACCCAAAACTGCACACGGATTCCAGCTGCAGTCTCACCATAGCCCCTAACAATTGTAGGACTTGTTCTTATTCTTATATTCCAATTCTTTGAAGTAAAGACAGACATGCTTCCTGTATCTTGCATGCTAACGACTTTTTCTTTTCATGCCCCAACACCATTCTCTTTGGTCCTGGAAAATTAACTGTTCTATCATTCAATTTCACCCAATCACAGACCTTTTCTCTTTATCCTACCCACTTGCTGAAAACATATTATATTTTTAACTTATCCCAGTTCTCTTGAAAGTTCACAAACCTGAATGTTAACTGTGTTTTTACAGTAGCTGCCATAATCTGTTGAATATTTACATCACTTTCTGTTTTTATTTTAGATCTCAGTATTCTTGTTTTTGATTAGTGTGCTATATTTTGCGTTCCTTGCATAGGTCTCCCTGAGTATCAACATTTACAAGTTTCACCCCTTTTAAAAAATATTCTACTTTGTTATTCTTGTGGCCAAAGTGAATAACTTCACACTTTCTTATCTCATACTCCGGCTGCAATGTTGCACACTTCCTTAGTTTGTCTAGATCTCAATGCAGTGCTATATTCTCTTTGCAGCTTGCATTCCTACCAAATTTTACATTGGCAATGAACTCAAGTATGTTAGTGTCTTGCAGTCTACGTCATTAGCATAGAGTGTAAATACCTGAGGTCCTAGCATTGATTCTTGATATTAATGAGAGCAACGGTACCACATAAAAACCAGAATCAGTTTACCACTCCAATTGAATGGATGACAACTTGGTTAGTTTCAAACCAGTTTCTTGTCTCTCTGTTTTTATTCAAAACAGTTATTATTTAAACGTGAAAAGCGCCAGGAATGTTTTTGAAAATAAATATGTTATTTTTATATTATTTGTTTTTGAATAGGAGCAGCACAGTGTCCAAACAGCAGTGCCTTGCAGGAAATACGCAGCTGTAATGAGCATCCTTGTACTGTATATCACTGGCAGGCTGGTCCCTGGGGTCCCTGTATTGAAGACCTGTCAGTAGCTACTCTTAATTCAAGCACCAGCTGGAGTGGTGAGGCTACCTGTGCCGTGGGAATGCAAACGAGAAAGGTTATTTGTATGAGAGTCAACGTGGGACAAGTTGGACCAAAAAAGTAAAGGCACAGTAATTATTAAGTAAAAGTGCAACAATATTTGTTTTGATTTAAAGACAGCTATGTTTTATTATTGACTGAAATGTTAACAGGTCAAGAAAGATTCCATATAAATACAAGTCTTTCATTTTTCACTTAAGCTGCAGTAATGCCAATCATTGATTGTTGTAATGATTTGGTAGGTGGCATGATGTTTTTGAGCCATTTACCTGAATATTAATAAGATTTGAACATTTTTTTTGCATGTTGATTTAGTCACACTTGGATCCGTTGGAAGTAAAATCTGACTGTTGTGAATTTAAGTTTTGCTGGCAGGATGAAAGTGCAACTTGCATCTATGCAGAACTTTAAGTCTTGAAAAGAATGTCTCAAGGCAGAGTTTACTCCAACAGAAATAGACTCTGGGGCAAGTACAAGATATTAAGAGGACTGAATAGAAACATGATCAAAGCGTTAGGTTTTGAATATTTTTGAGCAAAACGATCAATATAGAAATATATTGTTACAATAGTTTGTGCTTCACACAGCCAAATTGGAACATGAAAGTGACACGTGCTGAAATTGTTTTTCACCAGTAGTGCAAAATATGCTCCTCATGATTCAGTTGTGTATTTGATATTACATCTAATTTTTTGTTTTGGACACATATATGCTGTCAATTCGCTACCAATGTGTCTCAATCTACTGGTATACACCGATATCACTTTCTCAGAATTCACATCTTTATTTAGTTCATAAAAACCTAAATTGCTTCACAGTTGCTATGAACAAAATGTAGATGCAATTATTATAGGCCAAGCACATGGTGCATGTCACGCCAGTATAAAAAATTGTGAACATTGGCAACAACAACTTACATTTGTGTGGCAACTTTAGCATAGAATAATGATTCAAATTCACATCATTAAATTGTAATTAGCAAAACTGAATGCTGAACCAAAGGTGGAGTTTTTGGAAAAATTGAATTAGATTTTGGACATTAAGGGAATTTTACAGAAGCGATTTGAAGGAAGAGAGGGAAGTGGAAGAAGTGGTGGAATTGTGAAAGAAATAGTCTCAGTGATGGAAGTAATAGCCACCACTGCTGGGTCAGAGATAAGGGAAGAGTAGTTGAGCACAGAAAAACATGTATAATTTCAGAAAGAAAGGAACTAGAGTTGTTGAGATAACAAGGTGTAGAGCTGGATGAACACAGCAGGCCAAGCAGCATCAGAGGAGCAGGAAAGCTGACACTTCGGGTCTGGACCCTTGCTTGGCCTGCTGTGTTCATCCAGCTCTACGCCTTGTTATCTCAGATTCTCCAGCATCGGCAGTTCCTACCAGCTCTGAACTAGAGTTGTTGGTGCTTTTATGAAAATGAGATCAAGGGAGTGAGAGCTGGGTCTCTTGAATGGGATGAGCTCAGTGGAGATATGGAGAGAGATTGTCAGAAGCTGGAGAGGGGGGTCTCATTCAGAGTTACTGCATGTAGGAATCTGGAGGGAGGTTAGCTTTAGTTGGAAAGCAGAAAGAAGGAAATAGTAGAAGCAACTGAATCACTGCACAGTTATAATGCAGAAGCAGGCCATTCAGCCCATCTTGCTTGCAGCAGCTCATTAAATGAGCATCATTACCTTGTGCCAATTTCTTGCTGTTTCCTCATATTCGTGCATATTATTTTTAACCAAATAATCATTAAATGTCCTCTTGAAAATCTTAATTGAGGCTACCTCCACCACACTTCCAGGCAGTCCATTCTGTACCCTAGCTACTTACTGAGTGGAAAAGTTTTTCCTCACTTCACCCTCACTCCTTTTGCAGATCATTTTAAAAAATGGAAGTCTCACTTTTGATAGCAGCAAGTATTTGAACTCCTTGCATTTGGTGGAGATAAGGTGAAAGGGAAAAGTGCTTACAAAGAAGATTGGAAATGGAGAAAAGAAACAGCTGGTTAGTTTTCTCGATTAAAGTCATCTTCAAATTGAAGTTCATCTGGGAAGCTAATTGAGTCAAATATGCTCGACATAGTCCAGTCAGATTGGCTTCAGTGTAAGTCTCAGGCCTCCATGTTCCATAATATCAAGACTCTCACAATTAACCACAATCTTTTCATAACCAGCAGAGCATGCTTCGTGAAAATGGTTAACTCCTGCTGTATTTTTTATTCTTAGTTTTGTAAAATGGTGGACTTTAATTTGAAACAAGACTGACCTCTAAGATGTAGCAGTTACAAAAGTAAAAGTAAATCTGGTCTCTTGTGAAAAACAATCGTTTAAAAACTTACAATGCTTTTTCACCTTAAGAAAATAGATCTAAACCTGACCAAAAACAATCGGGGAAACTGTCTAGCTAAAACATGCATACATTAAACAGTTTATGTTAATTATAATCATGTGCAGTAGTTTCTATTAGCCTGGTGCATTTGACTTTCTAAACAGATTTATACATCATTAAATAGGTTATTGAGAATCATGAAGAAGGAAGTTACAATGACAGATGCAGCGTTATTAAATCTGATTTTTTGTGATGAGTCTGGGAGTCTGTTTTGGGAATATTAGATATGGGGAGCTGCTCCCTAGAGTGTTATACTGTCAATCTTAAAATGCACGCAGTCTGAAAAGTTATGTAAGAAGAGATTTAAACTGTTTTGTGATTACAACCATAATCTCCACCACTTCTCATCAAGAGAAAATCACCTCCATCTGACCATAATTTCTAGTTCTAATTAGGCATGTCATGAGTATTGCTTTTCTGACAGTGCTGTAATTCAATTCAAACTTTTATTCTTTAACTTACTATTGTACAATGGTTTAATAATAATTATGAAATAGATATGCCCATGTGTCTTTTTGTGTTGCATTATACAATACTATGACATGGTGATATCATTTGTCCTAACTAATGTTTTCCTCATGCTACATTAATTTGAAATGTAGTTTATTCAATTTTAACATATCTGTATTTAACCACTTACGATTAAACAGCAGTCAATGGTAACATATGAATTAACATGATCTGGGTTCTACTTATGCTTCAAGCTATGTATAAAAGTAATTAAAAACACATTTCCTTTGAAATACTTGACTGTTCAAAAGTGGATATAGGTTCCTCCTGATTATATGAAATTAATTAATTGTCTCCACTTAGCCCCACTTTCTATTCAGCTTAGATTATTTTCATATTTCCTCTGCATCTGTTAACTTGGAGAAATAGAATAAAGGGAGTCTGTATTCATTTTAAGAGTGGTTTCATTTTCTATAGCATAGGGCTTAGGTAGCTAAAGACCATCATTGATGGATTAAAGGAGAAGACATTGTAAAGAGAAATAGGGCATTTAGGATTTATAAATGGAGAACATTATAGGGATGGACAAGGATTTAAGCACAAGGATGATAGCTTCAAATTCATGACATAGGAGATTAGAATTCGTGGTAAGAACTGATGGGCAAATAAGTGTTAATATAGGATAGAGGGCCATAGCTTTGAATAAATTCCTGTAATTAGCCCTTTAGCTGTTCATCAAATAATGTTTGGAAAACAACCAAGTAATCAGAGTGTCGTCATTTCCATGATATCTGAACACAATGTTTGGAGTCTTTTTAAAATATTTATTTATAAATATATTTGTTGGTTTTAATCTGTACATTGCTGTTTTCTATGGTGATTTCTGTCATTTCAATGAGAATTTAGTAGCACAATGTAAGTGAAACTCTGAACAGATTACTATAATTGGGGAATTGATAGTCTCTGGGATCCTCCCCTTCATGACAGTGTATAACAATTACACCAGGTCAAATGAGACAATTAAGGAAACTGATTATTCAAACAGAGGCAGCTCTAACACAATTAGAACTGAAACAAAAGTTACTTCCTTCCAGAAAACATATTACTGCATTCTTTAGCTTAATGTATCTGAAAGGATACACTCTAAGTTTTCAAAGGATAAGCACTGAGTTTTACCCCAAGGGAGAAAAGCACAATAATTCCATATAGGAATAGTGCTTAACATATCCAAAGAAATATGTTCACAATGAAATATGGTTAATTTTCTGCTGGGTGTATTTTCTACTTGTCCCTCAAAAATTGATATCAGTATAATAAAAGCATTTACACTAGTGAAAGTTGAATACTGGTCTTTTCTTTAAAAATACCTTTAATGTTAGTTAATTCTTTATCAAAACAACATGGAAAAACAAACTATTCATCTGTCACTTGTGACTTCTCTCTTTATGCTGGATTAGTCTGAAATGACACTAAAGAAATAACACACAGGCAGCTCCAGTTTTCATAAAGATGCAATGGACTTTAATCTTTCGTAAGTCTCACACAGATCAAGTTGTGTACAGAGTGCTGAGGGGTCAGATTATTCAAAAGGAACAGCAACTATATCTTGATCTCTTCATGTTTATATTTCTCAATGTAGATTAAAAAGCGACAAGTCTCATGAAATCAGCAAGGACAAAGCTTCTTGCACTTTCCTGATTATGGGTGTTATCGTTTTATCATTAAATCAGTAAGAGAATGCTACAGGACTTATCTAGCTTCACCTATCTTTGTTGAAACACTCTTTACTTCAAATCATTTGCTTTTAACCTCACTTTCAACACACTGCAAAAGAAATCAATATTTCAATTGAAAACTTCAAATGAGCGCAAGCTTTCATTTCACCATCAAATTGAAATAGGAAAACTGTTTTGATTGAATTGTTTTCATAAAATGGACACACAAGCAATGCCACTGATGCAAATGTATTTCCCATTGGAAAAAAAAATTTGACATTTCATTTGGTGGTTGGTGTGCCTTTGAATCATCAGCATTAATGGTAAAAAAATAACTGGCTAAAAACTGTCCATTAATACATTTTCTCTAGGTTGCTTGGCCAATTTCCTGCCAACGCCTTGTTTGGAGAGTAGGAGCACCTCAGTGGTAGTTAATGCCTAAAGGGGTCCATCACAGTTCCATGTATAGAAATTGCATTTATGAATACTTTGCAACTCACACGATAGAAAGCGAGTCATGATTAAAACGGAAGACAGAATATTATGATACAAAGTTAGATAAAATCATTCGGCATTACATCAATGATGTTTGCATTCCAGGCAGATAAAGTCATGAAATATTGCTTTTCTTTTGCTTATTAGAAGCAAGAAGAATTCATTTCTTACTGTTAAAATTATGTATATAATTTCCTCATGTGCTAACTTAACACCATCATTTAACCTAAATAGCAATGGATCTTTATACAAATATTCTAAACAGCAGCAACATACATGGTACAACTCACATAGAAAAATGTATTAGTGAAATTTAAGGCATTACCCAATTTATTTTGAATATGAACCCTCCTGCATCAATGCAACAAACATATGGCATATGATGTCATTACCCATATATGCCAGCAATGATCATTTTAAATTTTAAAAGATCTTTAAGAGATTTTTGAGTAAAATATATATCTTGAATTATAGAAATGAGTGCTGAGAATAACATCTGATTCAGGAAAAAGCCATCACTACCTGAAAGACAAATATTATCTGTGCAATCATTTCATCTTTCATGGTTAATTTACTTTGATATTCAATGAATATAGAGAAAAGTCATGCAAAAATATCTCTAAAATTAACATAATTTTGAGCGGAAATCAATTACTCAAGGCTGTGTTTATGGTATTATCTGAGACATTATTTTGCTGGCAAGACCAGTTTGTTTTAGTCTGACAGTTCTTTGCAGGCTTCCTGTCATTTTATTTTTAATTTTTAGTAAACAAATTAAAAAATTCTATACGGACAGATGTCCAATAAACTACCTAATTAGCTCATGGTTCGCGGAAGTCTTATAATAGATTTCATTTTACCGTGTACAGGGTTCTCATTGGGAGTGCCCACATGGATGTCTGACCCAATGGAGCAATAATTCATTGTCAGATCAAAGCCCCATTCTCACTAGCTGACAGGATTACAATAGGTTTGTGACATGACCATAGCACTGCATTTGAAATATATTTCCACATTATGTTCACTAGCTCTTAATAGAATCCAAAGAATTCATGTGATTGATCATAGTTTTCTCTTGATTGAAAGAACTGTGCTATCTCACAAATCAATCTTTTGTGGTGAAAACCTCTATTTCTAAACATTGATGGATATGGTTATATCATTTTTTCTCATCTTGTACACTGATCTGGAGGTCAATAACTGTAACAGTTCAAGCAAACTAAGAAAATTATTAATAAAGATCAATGGTGGATAGCAGTCTAATTTGTTGCAAGCAAGAAGTTTGAATGTGAATATTGAACTAGAAGAAACCTTTTTGTTGTACCTTTCTCAATTCAGGAATTTTTGTGGTTGGTGGGAAGAAATAGTAGAAAAGTAAAAGCTTCTACTTAGAGGCACTATAGTAACAAATCCCAGAGTGTAAAAAGCAAGTTTCATTCTGTAAAACTAGTATTTCTGAAACAGCCATTATAGTTTACATTTTTTTTTATAAATTACGAATGTGGAAAATAAAACAGACTTTTCTACTGACTGATCCTAATTTAAAAAAACATCTAACAGAATTGTTATTTTCTTCAGGTGTCCTGAAACTGTACGACCAGACACAGTGAGACCATGTCTCCTACCGTGTAAAAAAGATTGCATTGTAACACCTTATAGTCACTGGACACCTTGTGACTTATCATGTAATGCAGGTAAATACTGACATGTTTCACAGAAATATATAGATTTTGTATTGAAAATAGATCATAGAGATGGTATGCCTTTAATCACCAGTTCAATAATTTGCAAACTTATAAACTAATATTTATCAACCAGTGATGAGAATGCATTATGTAAGTGGTTATAAATCAGCAGTGTGGCATTTGGCATCTCTGCATCGTTTTAACAGTCTGTCAGACCACTAGCCAAGGCAGGAAAGGCCTTGTGTGTAATTTTAACAAAGATCTAATTATGCCTGTCAATACTGAGGGAGTAAAAACTGAAAGAACTGCGGATGCTGTAAATCAGGAACAAGAACAAAGTTGCTGGAAAAGCTCAGCAGGTCTGGCAGCATTTGTGAAGTAAAAAACAGAGTTAATGTTTCGGTTCCGGTGACCCTTCCTCAGAAATGAGGACATTCTGAAGAAGGGTCACCAGACCTGAAACGTTAACTCTGTTTTTTCCTTCACAGATGCTGCCAGACCTGCTGAGCTTTTCCAGCAACTTTGTTTTAATACTGCGGGAGTGTTGCCTTATCAAAGATGCAGTCTTTCAGATGAGATGATAAACCAACAAGGGGAGATGGTGGTTTAGTTGTAATGTCACTAATAATACAGAATCTCAGGCTAAGTTTCTGGGGATATGTGTTTGAATCCATTCAAGGCAGACAGTGAGGTTTGAATTCAATAAATATCTGGAATAAAAAGCTCACCTCTTGGTGACCACTGTACCACTGTTGATTGTTCTAAAAACTGATTTGGCTCACTAGCGTCATTTAGGGAAGAAAGCCTTCCATCCTTAGCTGGTCTGGCCCTCAAGCAACTACAGGTTGACCATGTTAACTCTGGTCTAGCCAACAACACACTTAGAAAATAGCAGTGAGCAAGCAAGTCCCTCACCACTTCTCATTGTGCATGCAATCCAAATTTTGTTTATTAATCATTATAATGTTATCTAAATTCTAGGAGATGATGCCAAAACAAAACAATTCCGTCATCGTGTCATCATTCAGTTGCCATCAAATGGAGGGCGAGATTGTCCTGATACGCTGTTTGAGGAGAAGGACTGCGAGACTCCTCGTGTTTGCAGTAGTTACAGGTAAAAATGCCCATTTAATGGAATATAGTCTAGCTAGGTCGACCTTATATTTTGCTCAGTTAATACAGTTATTTTTTGGTCTTTGTGAAAATGTCAAAATTTTACGCGCATTCCAAGACTCCCCATTCTCTGGTTAAAAGGGCATGGAGGACAGGGCAGGACTTGTTTTGTATTCCGAATCAGTGATGAACACAGCCAAAGCAGACAGTGTGTACCGTGGTCCCAAGGCTTAGGGGAATGGAAAATCCAGCAAGTATTCCATCTTGTAATTCTGTTTGTTGGAAATTTGGATTGTACGGTTAGAATAGAATTTCCCTGAACTGCATGTTGAAATAACCTGCCAGCAATCAATAAGTTGAGTTTTGAAATAAGAATAGCTCTGATATGAAAGGAATATAAGTTTCAGTAAAATTGTGCTTAAATATTGGCCCGTACTTTCTAGGGAGCAAGTTATAAGGAAATATTCATGAGGAGAATATTGTAAAGTATGTTTACTAGCCTGTGACATCTGCTGGGATTTTCTTATTGCAATAAAGCTGTAGTGTCCCATCAAAGTGGTTTATGAGTCCATTTCAAATTAGCTCAAATAGCGACAATTAGCTGGCATTTCCCCCATCCCCACTTTTCATAAACATCAAAAGAAATTGCATGCACTACCATTTGCAGTTCCAAGTTACTCAAGTTACCAAATATAGATGGTCAACAAAGGAAGAACGTCATGAACAAAACTATGATCATTCTAGTCTGTCCCACTTTCAACAGATTTTCAGTGTGCATCTTTAAATGACATATATGCAAATTGTTGTCTCTCTGGTATTTGCTTGTTTCTTAGGTGATGTTCCTTATAAAGGAGTGCTATTCTTACCATAAGTTCTTGATCAGAGCAAGATGCTTGTCTTTCACATTCAGTGTCTTTGCTGGATTGTTGACTTCCAGAGCATACTCTTTTCTGCTTTGAGATGATGCTCACCTGGAAAATATTTAAGATCTTTTGCAATCTTCATGGATCTGATCTGCAATAATGACAACTATGCGAAACACTTCAGATTTCTTTTGGCATATATAGGGTTACAAATCCAAAGTTTAGTCTTGAAGGTCACAGCCTGTGGTTTTAATTCTTCCTAGCTGTTTGTTTTTTCCCAGAATAGATGGCTCTCTTACATCTCTGGAAATTCACTCAATTTCAGCTTCACTTCTGACACCACGTTTCAAGTAATGTGTTTAATGGTTGCCACAACTAAAATGAAATCTCTGAAAGCAGAGGTAGAGGCCACATGACTATGGCAAGCCAGGCTGTACACTGTGTACAGATGCATTTCTCCAGACACACCAATCCTTCTGAAACTATCAGGACTGTGGTTCAGTTTCCAGAGTCAGTATTTATCGGAAAATGACTGCAAACTTTTGTTTTCGTTCCTGCTGCCAAGAAGGGTATATTATTTGTTGGACTGCTAATGATTTCTGATCCTTGAATGTTGAGACTATGGCAGATATCAGCTGAATTTCCAAAAACCACCTCTGCATTAATCTGCATCTTCAAACAAAACTTGTACCAATAATAATTGCCTGATGATTCAAAGAAGAATCTGAAAGTCAGGAACCCATGTAGCACTGGACTATCAACAACAAATAAATTATATTTCAGCACAATCTGTAACTTAATGGCATGGCAACACTCTCACTCTTATCGGAGATTGTCAAGAGCAGTGTAAGGCATACCAAAAAATGAGGTGCTAACCTGTTGAAGCTACAGAACATGACTGTGGACATGCTAAACAGAGGAATCTACACTTCGAGCCAAATGATATCCAAGCAACAGATCAGAACAAAGTATTGCAGTCTGATCACAACTAATTGTGAAATTTAAATAAGTAATGGAAAGAGGAGGCTCCATGAACATCCTCAACCAGAACCTGGACTCACTGGGCCAAATCTATGATTCTGATTCAATGATCATAGAATCCCTACAGTGTGGAAACAGGCCCTTCGGCCCAACAAGTCCACACCGACCCTTGGAGCATTCCACCCAGACCCATCCTCCTATAACCTACACACCCCTGAACACTATGGGCAATTTAGCATGGCCAATCCACCTACCCTGCACATTTTTGGACTGTGGGAGGAAACCCACACAGACACAGGGAGAATGTGCAAACTCCACACAGACAGTCGCCCGAGGCTGGAATTGAACCCAGGTCCCTGGCGCTGTGAGGCTGCAGTGCTAACCACTGAGCCACCGTGCTGCCCGGATGGTGAAGTCCAAGATGGTGAAGTCCATGATGGTGAAGTCCAGCATGTGAACATAAAAGACAAAGCATTTCCTGCTATCTCCAGCTAAATCTGTAAAATAAGAGATGCATTTTTGTCTCCTCCACCATTATATGTATCAGGCTATAGCCAATTTGATTCCCATGACGTGATGTCAAGAAACAGTGGAAAATAGAGGACACAGCAGAACATCATTGGCCCTGACAATATCCTGACTGGAGTACTGAAGACTTGTGCCAGAGAACCAGCCGCACCTCCAGTTCAGTTACTTCATCGACACCTACATGACAAAAGTAGAACAAGTCTAATCCAGCCAATTGCTGCCCTCTAGGTCTGCCCTCAATCATCAAGAAAGTGATTATTGACTTGGTTATCAAGCAACACTTACTCATCAAAAACCAGCTTACTAATGCAAAGTTTGAGTTGTACCAGAACCATTCCACTCCAGACCTCATTACAACCTTGGTCCAAATATGAACAAGATGTTTAGATTCCAGAGATAATTTGAGAGTCACCATTCTCTGTTGCTACAAGAAGTAATAGTGAAATCTATAGGATTTAGTGGAAATTTCTTCAATACCCAGATTCATATCAACTCTAAGGAAGATTGTTTGATAGGCAGAAGCAAAACAACTCAACCCCAGAACATCACTGGAGGAGCTTGTAGATCCAGATACTACTTCAATTCATCATAAGGTCAGAAATGGGAATGCTAACTGACAGTTGCACAGTATTTAGTTCTATTCACAACTCCTTAGATGTTAAGGTAGACATACAGGAGGCTGGAAGAGCACAGCAAGCCAGGCAGCATCCTGAAGAAGGATAAGACCCGAAACGTTGAATGCCTCTTGCTGTCTGGCTTGCTGTGTTTTTCAATGATCAAGTGACCTACTCTTGTCCTTGTTTATATGCTCATCTGATTCATGAATGATGATACTTTCAAGTTAAGAGTGTGTGTGGCTAAGTGAAATGGGAAGAAAGGATGAATCTATAAGTCTATTTCTAGCACTGATTGTGGGCAAGGAGGAGCAGAATCATTTTCACTTTCCAACATGCTCACCTGCTTCCAGTTCCACGAACACAAACCCACCGCCCCAAGTCTCCTCCATCCCCATGATCTTCACATCCTTTCTTATTCCAACTCCTTCCATGTTGTATGACCAGTTCCCTTGACGTCCATCTATTTACCTTTTTGTAATAAGTCCCAACCTTAAATGTTCACGTCCTGTCTATCTGCAGTCCATTCCTTGATTGCAGCGTTATGCCAAAATAATTTCTACCTAACAATCAGGACAGTCAGGCAGGAAACCTAGAGAAAAACTGAAATAGTGCTTGATAATCAAAATCTACAAATGTTACCACTGCTTCTGGATTTCTTGTCCAGAATTGATTGCTGACACCCGTCCCCATCCCCAACTAAATGTGGGTGACATAGTTAACTGCCACAATGTGATGAAATACAGAGTTACTAATATAATTTTGCAATGTGAGCAGGAAGGGATGGCTTGCTGGTCACAGGTGGAAGAGCAATGCCACTTTTAAGACCATCCATTTGCGATAATTGGAGTAGTGCTGTCAGAGTAATTTTGTGACTAAAAGCTCCCCCCGAGTCCTGAGATGGATGATTTGATGTACATGTCACAACTCATTCCCAGGTCAGAACATTATTTGACTTCTAATTCCTATCTTAGTTTCTGTCTGTAAAACACAATGAACCAGCCATCTAAGTCGTTTAAATGCTGTTTAAATGCTGTCTAGCACAGAAAAGACAAATCGCTTCTTTGGTCCTCAACATAAACTCGTCATTTGTTTTCATTCTGCCAAAATCATCAGTCCTGCTTTGCAAATAAAGGCAAGCTCAGAGCTCTTTGGAATAATGGCATTTGATCAGGTCAAAATCTCTTGCTTCATGAATGACAGATAAGATGCATTAAACAATGATGCACTAATTTAGGAAATAGTACAAGACAAATCTAATTGGATTCACTATGCCAGAAGCCAGTTTGTCATTATTCAATTTAGACTTGATCTGAGGATGCTCTTAATGTTAATTGACCCAAAACAGACCTTATTATGAAATTTATGTTTGCATATTGTACAAATTGTAAATAAATATTAGTTTCTTTATAAGGTAATGTTCATAAATGGTAAAACTTTTAAGGATAATACAGGAATAAAAAGGCTTGTGGGTTTAAATAAATGAAGCCTTGAAAGTAGCATGACAAGTTGAAAAAGCTTTTAAAAACTGTCGTGATCTTGTGGTTTATGAATAGATATAGAATACAAAAGCAAGGACCTTTATGCTCGAACTTTATATGTCAAAAATTACATCTTAATGGGAGTATTGTATTTAGTCCTGGGCAACATACTTTAAGAAGAGTGTCAAAGTTGAGATAATATAGAAGATATTTGCCAAAAACCGGTACCAGGGACGAAAAATTTCACTTATTTGCAGAGACTAGAGAAGCTGGTAACAAAAGATTAAAGGGAGATCTGATAGAGCTGTACGATATTATAAGGGGTTTTACTGGAGTGTTCAGGATGAACTTGTTACCACTGTCAAGCGTGCCAGGGCTTGGTAGTTAGGGAATCACAAAGTTAAGACAATTGACAAAAGAACCAGATAGGATGTAGGAATTATTTTACACAGCAAATTGTTGTGATCTAGGATGTTTGTCTGACACTGCGTCTGATTGGACAGTTCTTTTAAATAGATGTGATATGTTGAATTATTTCCTGTGTTCTACAATTCCATGCCCTGGATTTTTATCCATAGAGTGAGGAGAATTGCCAATTGTGTAAAACCTGCTTCTAACAACGTCTGCTCAAAAGTCAGATTTTTATTCCAGCATGACAGGATTCCCTGGGAACTGGGCTTGGTGACTCCAGGATGGGAGCGAAGAATATCAAGTACAGAAGGTCTGCCTCTGTGCATTGGTACTATTTGAAGTTTTTTAAAAAAGAGAATAAAACATTAAACAATCCTCTATCCCTCCCACACCCCTCATCCTCACACTCTCCGCATGCTCATCCACTTCAACCCATGTTAAACAGGCCCCCAACTAACCCATAATACTCGATGACAAACTATGCTCCTTGCTGTAGCACCTCAAAGTACCTTTGCCCCTGTACCTACTCCTTGACACTTCATACACTCTATGATAACCTATGCCTTTACACATACCTCAGAATCCTTTAATGCCCCTCTGCCAACTCATTCCAACTTCTGCACCCACCCACCATCTTCTGTCTTTAAATCTACCATGCCAACTGTCCCAGTTATGACCATGGGAAGACCTCAGCACCAACGCAGAAATGAAATAAAGTTCTGCAGATCTATTTCATACTACATAACATTGAAAAAAAAAGCACTGTCGCTTATAAAAATCAACTTCCTATATTTACATTTTTTCCACTACATAACACCTTATAACAACCACCATCTCATTTAGGGGCATAAGTCCCAATTACTACAAGCACTGGAGTTAATAGACACACTTCAAATAGCTTATAATTTTTTGTAGCTATTATAAAAATCTATTAAATAGCAGGTACTCTGTTGTGATCATAGATGGTTGTGATATAGTTCATGCAATGCCAGTCCAGTTATGGAGATCCTCAGGCTTCTGTCAACAGATCAATTGAAATAGCAAGCTGTAATTTTAACACTCCAGAAATTGTTTCTCAAATATTTAAGAGGCAAGGTTTTTCAATACATTAATACTTATGATAGCTCCCTTTGACAAGTTCCTTTTGACAATTCTCTTTAACATGTCTTTTTGACAAGTGTGGCAGTTGTTTTTGTCATGATCCCAGTTATAAGAATACAGGGGAGGCGATGGCCCAGTGGTAATATCGCTGGACTGTTAATCCAGAGACCCGGATAATGTTCTGGGGATCCAGGTTCAAAGATGGTGGACTTTGAATTCAATAAGAATCTAATGATGACCATGAATCCACTGTCGATTGTTGGAAAAACCCACCTGGTTCACTAATGTCCTTTAGGGAAGGAAACTGCCATCCTTACCTAGTCTGGTCTACATGTGACTCCAGACGCACAACAATGTGGTTGACTCTAAACTGCCTACTGGGCAATTAGGGATGGGCAATAAATGCTGCCTGATCAGTGATGCCCTCACTCCGTGAATGAATAAAGGAAAAAAAAACAACCTAGATTTTGTTATGTGGCTAGATAGATGACAATCTTTTAAAGAATAGAAATCATGGAAGCACAAGTATAAGAAAACAAATACCAGCATTTCAGAACTGAATTCAAATGGCAAAACAATATTTACAAACCTGAACAAATCCAATATTAGACACAATGATTAAATAGGTATTCCAAACAACGGAGATTATTATTCTAAACATTACATATATAGCTGAGACTCTAATGTTCAGAATTAACAAAGTAGATAGGAGTTGAGACAAACTCTTAAGACTGCACTTGAAATGGCCAACGTGGTCAAAACAGATCCCACTTTGCTTTTAAGAACACTGTGCTCAAAGCTCATTAAAACATTCACAAGAGATTCCAAATCCTCATTTTCAAAGATCTAGCCTTGAAATGCCTTCAAAGGTTCTCTGAGTTGAACTGCATCAATGACAGTTGATGTCTTAGTAGTTCAGTCTCTTCTCCTCAGGCCAATGTCCCCAGGCCTCCTGACACTGTTCTCAAGCGTCTAATTACTGGCACAATGTCAGCTTTTATCAAACAACTAGCTTCACCAAACTGTCACTGAATCTCTCCAAGCTCTAATCTTCCTCATCTGCAAATATTGCTGCTGAAATCCCATCACCTCATTCTGAGCAACATTGAAATATCAATGTCTCCCAGGGCCTCTCTTTAGCTGTCATCCTTTTCCAGGCATGGAGCCACTTCTTTGTAGGGTTTCTCCTGAAACCTTGGCTGTAATTTCCTGGCTGTCAGAATGTGACCACTGAGCCTATTCCAGATAGATTACCCATCAGTGTGAACATTGCTGTGCTAGTAGAGGTGGGGACAAACACCTTGATAGTGCATCTTCTGAGGATACAACTCTTCCTTCTCAAGAGTGGCGTTTGTGTTTCTAGTGATGGGTCTGGGAGAATGGGTCTCTTCCTTGATGTTTCCTGGTGTGGTAATGGGATCTGGAGGATGCAAGGAAAAGCGTAAAGAGTTATAAATGTCACTCCAACCTAGATATTTTTAAAGCTGCTTTTGTTTCATATGCAGCTGGAAGTGGAGGCTTTCTCATGCAATGGGTACATACACTCAGGTCTCACTTCCGCACAGGCATGGTCACCTTCCGCTTCTGCCAGCCCCACTGCCTGCTCCTTGAAGGAAGTCAGTCAGCAGCCTTATGTCAGGCATACTGCCCTGTCTCTGGACACACTTGTGCTTATTGTATACGTGCTTGTCTGCAGACACAGAAAAAAAAGCTCCTGATGAGTTTGCTATTGGTGATGTGCCTCTGGAATCGGCCATTAATAAGCTAATGAAGATGCATAGACAAGGAGTGAAATGTTTGGCAGGAATGCCAGAGATTATGCAGAACCTGGATTGAAGGGCAGTGTGTCTGCCCAGGTTCAACCTGATGTCATCGCTTTGGCAGGTGACTAGATGGCTACCTCCATGGAATGGGTGGTGTTCAACATGGACAGCCAGATCCAGCAGAACAATCAGTATCTGCCATACATAGGCCTGAGGATCTACACTCCATCATTCAAGTAATGGATGCCTTCATTCAGTAACTACATGAAGCGGTAGCCCTGAAGGTTCCCCTCCTCGCCCAAAGGGATGAGGAAGGTGCTGTTACAAATTGACAGGGAGGACAAGTGATCATTCAGACACCGAAAGATGGTCACCTCAGGATACCCCAGAGTTTCCCTGCCTCCCATCAGCCTTCACCCTAAATTGCCTGGTATAGGTTTTATTTGTTTTCTTATGCCTGCTGTAGGTTTTGATATTGCTAATCAACCTGTAAAGAAATAATTTTACACTGAGGCCTCTGGCTCAGAAGTGGGAACACTATCATCGTGCCACAGTACATCTCAATCTGGTATAGCTTTGACTTGATGCAATAATATAAATTAGGTGATAGTGAATTGGGATCCTGTAATACAGCTTTTTTGACATGCCTTCAATTAAAGTAAAACCTAGAATGTGTAAAGCATGGTTGCCAATTCAGTATTATGCTGTCTGCATATTTCATACAGTCAAAATCTAGCCCACTGCGTGTTATTAACATACCAGATTCTGAAGTTTGTATCTTACTTCAATAGTCACACCAACAGTGTTGTTAAAATAATACACCAACAGAAATATCACACTCACATAACAATAGTGGGAGGAGGGGGCAAGATTTAATTCCCATTGGCATTTTGACAAATTCCCTGGTAAAGTCAGAATTCATGTATTCCTTATCAGCATGCGACAGTATTATTTCCTATATGGCTCACACTTAGGAAATGAGTTATGATTTAGGAAAAGTGGAATGTGACCAACCTTCTTAAGAAACTGATATCTTCATTCCATTAGGAAACAGACTATTAGTAATATTATTCCCATTACTCTTGTGAAATTCTTCCATACTGACTCAAAATTAATACAAAGGTAAATATTGTATGAAAGGAGTATTAACACATTGCAAATGGCATGGAGCACTGCAAATCATTGTTTATAATTAGCAAAATAATATCCAGGAATAATTTTCCGCCTTAGATTTGGGTTTGGAGCGTGAGAACTGTCATCATTGTCAGTCCCTCAAAAGAAGGGTGATGTCTGAAGGCATCATAATTTGTGTGTCCTCAGTAGGCCACTCCTGGAGCCACAGTTCTTTGGGCAGATGACAAATGTTGCTCTGAGGATGGGGCATGGGAATGGCTCTGCTTTCTCCCTTTCCCACCTGTCAGCTTTCTGCATCAGAATTCAAACTGTTAGTGCCTGACTCTGATGTGGCTTTTTAACTGAAGCACTATTGCTTAATGGCTTGGTGTAATTATCTCCCACGGCCTATTGTCAATTTGTCTGACTTTCAATGAGACCTTTGGAGCGTTCCTAAATGTCCTTTGTCCTTGTTATTGGCAGCATCCTTAAATTGTGTACAGGTAGGCCCTCAGAAGCTGATTACTTATCCACACTGTCAGGTTCAGTGAAGCTTGCTTTGAACGAGCATAGTTGTAATAATGGAGAAATTGCCTTGGCATGGACACTGGGGCCTCGCAGCCTAACTTCCTACCCAATCTAGGATACTCTGCAGAGACGTCAGTGATGGAAATTCTCCAGCACCTGGAAATTCCCTTGTAGGCAATCCAAGCCCCATTGCCACACAGAAGGATGGTGACAACAACATCACTGCACACCAAAACCTTTACCCAGCCTTGCAGATCCCTATTTCAATCAGAGGGTAGATCTTGTCATTATTGTGCCCTTCAAGTGGCCAGTAATGTGGAAGTTATGGACATCGTTATAAAAGGTACAACTTATTTCTTTCATAATAATGTTCAAAACTTAATTGTGCGTTTTTTCCGATAGGTGGAAAACACACAAATGGCACAGGTGTCAGTTGGTACCTTGGAACGTCCGTCAGGACAGCCCTGGAGCACAGGAAACTTGCGGTCCAGGACTTCAAACTAGAGGTTAGTTTCATTCTTTAAGGCCTTCTTGTCACATGTTAAATGTATTGGACTGCTGTTTCCACTGTATTACATTGCTTATTTCAATTAGTCAAACCAGTGCAAAAGATCAAGGAGTTTTTAGTGCAGCTTGTCTTCACTGCATATTAAGTTTCCATGATTTTTTTGTGCACTAGTTTAAAAACAATCTTGCCGGCAGATAGCACCATACACAAAATTAGCAATACCTTGTAATTGAATTCACCAACATTTTGAGTTTCTGCTAATTGTACTAGTTTGCAGGCCTTCGAGGAGGCTCTGAAATTAAATTAAAACCAAAAGAATTGCGGATGCTGTAAATCAGGAACAAAAACAAAGTTGCTGGAAAAGCTCAGCAGGTCTGGCAGCATCTGTGAAGGGGAAAAAACAGAGTTAATGTTTTGGGTCCAGTGACCCTTCCTCTGAAATTAAATTGTTTTCTTCAGCATTGGAAACTGATTGGGACATCTAGAACATTTCCATTTTATGTCTTATAATTACTAAGAAACTAATTACCCAATATAAGTGATAAAATGTTTAGCTTTAAAAGTCATTTTCAGTAATTCGGACCATAAACCTGGGAGAGAAGGTGGGAGGTGACCTTACTGATTCCCCCAATCAAACAGGGATGTGGAAGTTTGGGAGTCAACCTTGCAGTCCTGATGTTAATTGAGACCCTCCAGTGCTCAATCAGGGGATCAATTCAAGGCTTCTTCTGTGCCACTGGCATTCTGCCAGCGGCAAATGGACCCGTTGCCTCATGAGGAGGCTTCCCAGCATAACCTGAAGACTATTTTGTAGCTCAGGGATGTCCTCCTGTTAGTGCACCCTGTCGTCCATGAAGGACACACTCTTTCTCGGCCATCTTTTCGTCAGACAGCGTACTTACTAAATTCAGCTTCCAGCCAGATCATCAGCTAATTCCAAAGCAGAAACTCTCGGCCATTGAATATTCATTAGGCCTTCGGACTGTATTGGTATGCATTTTAGTTGTGTGAATCTGTGAATCTATGAATTCTGGCTAATTCTGTTTGCTCAGTTGAGAGAAAACTAATCTCTTTCAAGGTCTTAAATTGTTGCATCGTTCCAGAATTGTAATTCTGAAGTTTCAGATTAAGAAGTGCATCAAGAAATTTGGGACATGGTGTAAAAGTATTTTATTTACTCAGTTTATCGAAACTATAGACAAAACAATCAGTTTAATAAGGCTGTTGAATAGTTATTCAGAGGTACATTTCTTGTATATTTAATAGAATTATATAAATTGTCATATTTTTGTGTGAAGAACAGAAAAGTGTTGTCAATCATCTGTTTACATATTCATGTTTAATTTAAATATAAATGTTGCTTCTCTGAGCCAATTTACGATAATAGTGAAACTTGCCAATACATTGAAATCATAGTCATACATCATAGAAACAGGCCCTTCAGCCCACTGTATTTGTACACTTTAATATTTCTGTATCTTCTCATCTGCTAATTATATAAAATGTTAAAACTTCAACAGACTATTACATTTTTGGACCATCTGAGGTAATAACTTTATAGCATAAAAATACAACCAAAATATACCCCAAAAAATTGTAGATTGCAAACGTTTTAAGCTATTGGGTTATTTTATGTTTTATCATGATTAAGGACTACATCAATTATTTTGTGGTATAAATTTATAATATTTTTAAATATGCAGCTGTTTAGAAATTACAGTAACCATGATGCAAACTTATAATTTTATGCCAAACTTATATACCAAATCTCCATTTGTCTGGAACCCAGTAGGTAACAAAAGTGAAATGTGACCTTGGGGGCTTGTTTTAAAATAAGCAGTATGTTGTTGTGGTATCCCAGTGAGCATAGAGTATCCCAGGATTAGTCATTATTCCATAATGTAATACATGTTCTCTGCTATTGTGATACTCTTCAATTCCTTATCTACATTTTATTGCCGACTTCAGGACCCCAACATCTCGACAGAAAAAAACAGGTTCCAAGCCCACACTTGCCAGCAGCACAGGCCTTGGTGGTGTTACCCTAGATAGCCTCTTAATTGGCCAACTCTGGATTAGTGTGCAATTAAGTACTGTAGAGTGGATGAGCTCTGATGTGTCAACAGCCCCACAGGGAGAGGTCAATACTGTTGAGGCAGTTAGGAGTCGTCAGCATACTTCCAAGTAAGTAAATTAAAAATAAAATGCTCAGGGTGTGCAGGGTGGAGAGAAATTCCCTCTGGTGAGGAAGTTGCTAGGGCCAAAGAGGTAGCCTTTCATGCTGGCAGCCTGGTAAAGTGATCCTTAATAGGGCTGTTAAGTATTCAAATCGCTGCCTGCCTCCTGAGGACAGGAAACCTACTGATCTTGTAGCCTTTTGCTGGAAACGTTCCAAAGCAACAAGACTAAGCTAGAGTATAATCCTAACACGGCTCCACCACCGCCATTTTTTAACACCTTACCCCATCTTTCAGCCTGTCAAAAGGGTTTGATGAAGGAGAAAGAAAGGGGAGAGGTATCAAGCAATAAAATTCTGCCCGAACTTGTAAATAATTTCCTTCATCATTTCTGCAAAAATCAAAGATATCTCCTCCAGCTTAATTTTCACAAAATAGAAGCCATATTTATTTCTGCAAATATCTGTGCACCTCTGGCAGTCACTCCATTCATCTTTCCAATTACCACCTCGAGATAAATCAGGAAAGGAAGAACCTCAATGTATTTCTCGACACTGGGCTAAGCTGTCATGCTGTTGTGTATATTCTGGCTACTTCTCTTTATGTTGTCTTCTTTATAAGATTCTAGAATTAGTGACACAGGATCATGAGCTCAAATCCAATCAACCAATGTTTTCAAGAATATAAACTGTCACGCCACCTAGTCTGGCCAAAGTGTAATTTTAGTGCATATCATATAGTTCACTCTTAAAGCCCTCTGAAATGCCTGAAAGATAATCAATTTGTCAAGGCCAAAACAAATGAATAATAAATCTGGCTTCCCTTATGTTAACAGATAATTTAAAGCTCTCTGAAACATTACTTGTTTGCATTTTTATTTCCATGCCACTGTGGGATTTTATCAGTTCAGGATTTAACTTCTCTCAGTTTACCCAGCATAAGATGAGAATTAACTGCCACCAATGCTTGCTTCTTCTTGAGCAGTCCCTTGTGGTTGAGGATGACTTGCTTCCAGACAAAAAATGCTTTTCCTGGTGACTGAAGAGGCTAATGTACAGCCTATAGCCTCTGTCAGAGGTGGGGCAGGTGGTGGCATGGGGAATGGGTGGATGGAATGCGTGGTTTGTCATGCTGCCTGTTGACATGACTTCAGCTTTCCATTGGTGTTGAGGCTTGAGACACACCGATCCTTTCCAGATGCCTTTCCTCCTCCTCGAGAGGTCCTAGACCACAGTTTCCCAGGTGTCATTAAGGATAATGAGTTTTTTTCAAAGAGACTTTGAGGGTGTCCTTTGAAGTGTTTCCCCTGGGAGTAGGAGTAGAGTTGAAGTGTCAGCAGCAGCACAAGAATAAAGGGGCAGATGTCCTCTTTCTTTGCTGCCATGATTCTCACTCCTATTAATACCAGTTACCTTTGCTGAACAGTACATATATGTCCTCACACTAAGTCAGGAAAGGATTGATTTGATAAATTATGCCCTCACAGTTGAATAGCTTGTTGTTCACTGTTGGAGAAGACCCATGGAATGTGCATAAGATTTTGGAGCGTGATAAGTTTCCATGAAATCTTAACACAGCAGAAGTAGAGGGAAGAAGGGAGAAAATCAGAATGAAAATCGAAAAAGGGGAGCAACAAGACTGAATGTGGGTAATCCTGCTAAAGCAGATTCACATAAAATCAAGTTTTCCCATGAGAAATATGGAGCAAACACAATCATCTGGAAGTTTTTGCACATTGTCATGCATAAGGATCTGATCTGACACAAAGGCACAAAGTATTTTCAGGGCTTCCCTTATTTTGTAAACAACAGTTTCTCAGGGCACTATGTGCATGAGAGAGTCTATGCTATGAATATGTCGCCCAAGAAAACTTCCTGCCTGCTAAGTGCTAGTAAAGATGAACTTTTACCACCCAGCTTCCTGTTTCCTGCCCTGTGAAAGTCTTTGGTTCTCACAAATCCACATTTCATAACCACTGCTTTAAAAAAATTGTCTAAGGCAAATTGCTTACAAATCATTTAGTCTGATTCTGTTTGCTTTTATACTTGTATTATAGCTTAAGGGTAGAATTGTGAACATTTTAAAGGCTAAATTGAATTGTAAGGGAAAGGTTGTTCCTCTGTTTCAATATTTATATCATGACAACTATATTCAAATGAAACTTTAAAACAAAAAAGACCAGCATTAGAACTACCTCAATTGTAATGTTAGAGTCATAGGCCCTTTGGCTCAACCAGTCCATGCTGACCATGTCCCAAACTAAACTAGTCCCACCTGCCTGCGCTTGGCCCATATCCCTGCAAATCTTTCCTATTCATGAACTTATCCAAATGTCTTTTAAACATTGTAACTGTACCTGCATCCACCACTTCCTTTGATAGTTCATTCCGCACATGAACCACTCTCTGTGCAAAAAGGTTGCCCCTCATGTCCTTTGTAAATCTTTCTCCACTTATCTTAAAAGTATGACCTCTAGTTTGAACTCAACCACTCTAGGGAAAAGACGCTTGTCATTCACCTTATCTATGCCCCTCATGATTTTATAAACCTCAATAAGTTTACCCCTCAACTTCCTATGCAGTGAAAAAGGTTCCTGCCTTTCCAGTCTATTTTTATATCGCAAACTCTCCATTCCTGGTAACATCCTGGTAAATCTTTTCTGAACCCTGTCCTGTTTAATAATATCCTTCCTATCACAGGGTGACCAGAACTGTACACAATACTCCAGAAGAGGCTTCACCACATTCTGTACAACCTCAACATGATGTCCCAAATCCTATACTTCAAGGTTGTAATAATATTGTATTCTATTGGAAACAGTACATTTTGTCCTCATTATTCATTTTTCACTAATAAATTCTATGACAGCAGCAGCTGAAATGTAAAGATAATATCTATTTTGGAATGATATTTGATCAGGTAAAAAAAGCTTCACAAAAAACATTATGAAAGATGCAGTCCTCCAGCAAATTGTTAATCTTAGTTACACTGCTCTGGAAAAAAAAACAAAGACTTCAATAAAAATGAAAATCAGGAGAAATTTATAATGGGTGACTAATTCAGTAGTACCATTTAACCTGCCTTCAAAAGACAAAATTAGCCCCACTATCATCATCTTTGTTCCCTTTCCCCTTAACTACTTTATATTCATTCTTCACTCACTTCTAGTTCTATCGTGCTTGCAATCTTTCCATCATCCCACATTAGTGCCATTATTCCCCCATTAGCCTGCTGAACTAGAAAAATCAAATTGTCTCGAACACCCATTTACAATTCCTCATAACGTGGTCTAATATTATTAAAATAGTATACTCAATCACCCTTATGGACCTAACAGTGTCAAAAAATCCACATTCTTATGACATTTGTAACTGCATGTGACTTCTGTTGAGAATGTGGCAAAGTGATTTTTTTTCCATTCAGAAAACCTAGTTGTTAATCTTATTCTCTGTCTCTCAAGATCACTGTTAAGTAGACTCTTCTCTCCATGCATTGACTGTTAATTACTACTAAGTGACATTGTGCTGCAGTATTTTGAAATTATAATGGCATGATAATTTTTGTTTCCCTTCCTTCAAAGGAAGTTAAATTTTTGAATTTAAAATTTTGTAATGTTAATATTTTTTTTCTCACAAATCAAACCTGCTTAATGTTTCCACTAGGTTTTAAATAACTTCTTCCAGCACTGGTCAGCCTTTCCTTCTCCAGCTTTCCTGCTATGCCTTTTCAGTATATTACCAGCCCACTTGCACTTCGAACTCTTTTAAGGAAACTGTGAGGCTCTTATTTTGGCCTTGTTCTACTTCTGAACTATTCCAATGCCTAACTTTCACATTACAGAGACAATCCAGAGAATTGGCAGTTAAATTCCAATATCAATGGTGGTTATGCTATTTCAATGCATTTTAATACTTTGAAAAGTGTTCGTATCAATTCCTTTAACTGTAGGCCATGAGATTCTCTGACTTATCCTCATGGGCTATCTCTTTTGCATTTTAGATCAGTTTTTTTATATGCACACTTCTCAGTGTAAGTGTGCCCATTTTGATGCTGCTGACCATGCTATAATAGATACTACATGTGATGACTGACTGATACATTATAAAAGCTACCACATAGCCTCTATAGCCACTTTTCTGATTGCAGTTCCAACTGCTTTTCCACATTACCTTGGCTTTGAAATTGTCAAGTTTGGTATTATTTACAAGTTTTCATCTAAATTTTCTTGAGCCAATTAAAATTTTATATAAACTGTGGCCAGAATTTCCTTAGCTCCTAGAGATGGGCTGGGAGACAGGAGGAATGTTAAAATGACAGCAAAAAGCATAAGGGGGAAACCTCACTTCCTCCCCCTGCCATGGTGTTTATGTAGGAATGGCAGTAGCTCAGTTGCCTGCTGAAGGAAGGCAGAGTTCAAGTAATTAATTGGTCAGTACAGGTTAAATTTCCCTGCTTTTGGCATTTTACCAACATTCTGTGCCTCCTCCGATTCATGGTGAGACTAGCTGTTTAACCAGATTTCCTCCCATCAGAGCTTCCTAAGAGATCAAAAGCAAAGTTGCTGGAAAAGCTCAGCAGGTCTGGCAACATCTGTGAAGGAGAAAACAGAGTTAACGTTTTGGGTCCACTGACCCTTCCTCAGAAGACCCTTCCTCACCGGACCCGAAACGTTAACTCTGTTTACTCCTTCACAGATGCTGCCAGACCTGTTGAGCTTTTGCAGCAACTTTGTTTTTGTTCCTGATTTACAGCATCCACAGTTTTTTTGGTTTTCCTAAGAGATCATTGACTGCTTTCACATTAATTGCTCTTTGATTTCTACTGGCATTTACTGAGTTATTGAAGGCTTGAATTGTTACTTAAAGTGGTTCATGTTTACAGGGTAATAGCTGAAAACCATGGTTCCCAATTCAAGCGTTCTGACCAGGCGATGTGCTGTCTTGAGGATGATATAGTTTCTGTTCCTCCTTGGCCTCCTTGCCTCCAGCATGACAGAGAGAGTCAATGGAGGTAACACAAATGAAGACAGGCTGCTCAAAGAAGGAAGAGGAAGGGACAAGTGTACTTATCAGGAGGCCATATCGACTCAGTATCTTTAGGAGACATTTTTCCTACATCACCCTCGCTGAGGAACAGTGTATGCAATGTTTCAGTTCCTCTAAGGACATGCTTAATGAAATCTGCCACTAATTATAAATAGAACTGCACCATCACAATAGGCTGAAGTAATCATTGCCAGTAAAGTTAACCATGGATGTTAACTTCTTTGTGACAGTATCCTTCCAAGTTTTAGCAAGCAACCTCTCTAACATCTCTCACTGCATCATCCACATTGTATAAGGGAATTGACTGACATTTGGTATGCAGAGAGAGGAGGATACATGGCTTTCATACTTTTATGGAGAGAAGCAGGCAGCTTTGCCAGAATATTGGTGTCTGTGGTGTCGGATGCACACATGTGGCTTTGCAGGCACTACATACAAATTCAGGGATTTATTGCATTCGCAAATGTTACCTTTCCCTCAATGCCTGGCTGGTGTATGATCAAACTCAGATTATCATGCAGGTCAGTATCCAATTCGTGTAACCTAAGTGTTGAGGAAGCATCTAAAAACAATAGCTTGGGATAGAATTAGTAGCCATCTGAAAATGTTGAGTTGCTGGAGGTTTTTGAAGAAGTAATGGAAAGAGTCAATGAGGACAATGCTGTTGATTTAGTGTACATGATCATTCTAAAAGTATTTGATACAGCACCACACAACAGACTTACGAAAAAATTTACAGCACATGGAATAAAAGGGATAGTAGCAACATGGATACAAAATTGTCTGATGAAGAAGGAGCAAAGAGTAATGGTCAGTGGATATTTCTGTTGCAGTTACAGAGAAGATGCAGAGAAAGATCAGCTCTAATGTATGAGAGGTCTGTTTGTAAGTCTGATAACAGCAGGGAAGAAGCTGTTCTTAAATTTGCTGGTATGTGTTTTCAAACTTTTGTATCTTCTGCCTGGTGGAAGAGAGTTTAACCATGGTGGGAGAGGTTTTTGATTATGTTGGCTGCTTTCCCAAGGTGGCAGGAAGAATAAATGGAGTGAATGGATGGAGTGCTGGTTTTTATGATGGACTTGGTTGTGTTTACAACCCTCTGTAATTTCTTGCAGTACTAGGCAGACCTGTTACCATACCAAATTGTGATGCATCTGGATAGGATGCTTTCTATGATGCATCAATAAAAATTCATGAGTCATTGCGAACATGCTGAATTTCCTTAGCTTTCTGAGGGAGTTGAGTAGTTGGTGTGCTTTCTTGACTTTAACGTTGACGTGGATGGACCAGGATAGATATTTACTCTTAGGAACTTGGAGCTCTCAACCACCACCACCACCACCCCAGCACCATTGATACAAGCAAAGATGTGCCCTTCCCTTTGTGAATTTGATGACCAGCTCCTTCATTTTGCTGATATTGAGGGAGAAATTGTTGTCTTTATATCATGCCACTGAAGTGTCTATCTCCTTCCTATAGTCTGTCTTAGCATTTTTTGAGATCTGATCCACAGCAGCGGTGTCATCTGCAAATTTGTAAACTGAGTTAGAGCTGAATTTGGCCACACGGTTGCGAGCATATCAGGAGTATAGTCAGGGCTGAATATACAGCCTTGTGGGGCACTGGTGTTGAGGATTATGGTGGAGGAAGTGTTGTCGCCTATCTTTACTGATTGTGGTCCGCGGGTCAGGAAGTCACAGATCCAGTTGGGAGCAGAGTCCTAAGTTTCAGAGTTTGGAGTTGAATTTTATTGGAATTATGCTGTTGAAGATGGAGCTAAAGTCAATATATTGGAGTGTGATGCAGGTGTCCTTGTTATCCACATGTTCCAGGGATGAGTGTAGGGCCAGATCGTGTCTGCTGTGGTCTTATTGTGATGGTAGGCGAATTGTAGCAGATTGAGGCAATCTGGGAGGCTGGAGTTGATGTATGCCATTACTAACCTCTCTACCTTATGATCTTTGCGCCTGTATTTGTGATCTTGCTAAATTTTGCAGCCTTGTTCCATACCCTAAATTATTGTGATAAGTTGCTTTCAAAAATATTTCTGTGCTTTCAACTAATCAGGACAAAAGTTTAAACAATCCATGCCTTTTATGCAATCCTACTTCTTCTATTTTTAGCAATATCATGTCGCAAGCAAGATGGTGGTCAAGTGGATATTAATAATTGTCTGAAATGGGCTGGTACAATGCCACCTTTAACTCAACACTGTCAGTTGCCCTGCCAGGATGACTGCCTGTTCACTAACTGGTCCAAATTTTCTGCCTGCAGTGGTGACTGCAGTACAGTACAGATCCGAAAGAGGACATTTGTTGGTGAGTAATTAAACAAATAAAACATGTTTAGCAGACCAATCATTCTATCTTATTCCAATAGCACAAAATGAATTTGCATATGTGAGACTCTTTCATCCTTGTTCAAACTTTTATGTATGTTTTTATGATCAAGAAGTCAAATCACGAATTTAAATTTTTGGTGAGTATTTGTGATAGGTGCCATATTCAACAATTCATTCTGCAGATACATTCATAGAGTGGAATTTTCCCATTTCCATTTTGTGTTTCGTCAAGTGAGATGCATGGCACTCAGCCCAGCATGGTTCACAGCAACTTACCTCAAATAATCCTACACTTTCCATCTCATTAATCATGTACCTAGATCTTCACATTCTTTCTCATGGAATTGAATGGCCGGAGAGGGCTATGGTATTTGGTAATATCCAGACCTTCTGGCATTTACACCAGGAGGTCATGTTTAAAGTTTGGCTGCAAACCACTGCAGAGACTGCAAGCTAGGAACTGTGGTACTCTACCATTATGACTGAGAACATGCCCTGGAAGGCAAGTTAGGTCCTTGCTTTATGGACAGGGACGTGATGGATAGGGTGGTGTAGAGGAAGGCCATAATTTTGCTGAAAAGTGCTAAAGGAGGTTACCCCACCAGACACAGCAGCCAGTTTCAATGCTGTATGTCAAGATAAAAGGAATGTACAGCAGCGTAGGGAGAAGGTCAATGACCTTCTGAACTTTGCAAAGCTAAGTGATACCATCATCTTGTCTCTGACATCTCACAGTCACAGGGCCATCACTCACTAACCCTGCTACGCACACATTTCTTACCACAACTCATGTGCTTCAACTTTCATTATTGCATGCATCAGGTCCACTCAACTGTTTCCGTCCACCTCATCCTCTCAAAATTAACTCTTCTTATCCTCTGCATTTCCACCTTTTACAATGTTGGCACATCACTACCTCTCCTGCTCCTCAATCACCATTCTCACTGCTTGTATCCATTTCTGTCATAATCTTTCCCTCCCTTTGTTTCCCTTTGAGATTCAGTAGCATCCCATTTCTGAATTCCCTACTATCAATATTCTAGGAATTATCATTGACCAGACCAGATTATCATTGAACTGGACCAGCCACATAAGTAATGTATCTACAAATCAAGTCAGAGGCTGGAATTCTATGTCAACTACCTCATATCCTGTCTCCCATATGCCTGTCCACCATCTACAAGGTACAAGTCAAGATTGTGATTGAATCCTCTCCACTTACCTGTATGGGTGCAGATCCAACAACTTTCAAAATAATTGACAACATCCAGGGCAAAACAACCCACTTAATTGGCACCCTATCAACCATATTCACCACCAAATCATGGTGGTGGCACTGTACATCATCTACAAGATGTACCACATCTCCTTCCATAGCACCTTCCAAACCAAGAAGGATAAGGACAGCAGACACATGACAATATCATCTGCAAGATGTCCTCCAAATCAGACACCATTGTGACTTGGAGCTATAGTTATATTTCTTCACTGTTACTAGGTCAGAATTGTTGGAACTCTTCCTAACATTGTGAGTGTACTTATATCCCAAGGACAATAACAGTTCAAGAAGGCAATTCTCAACACCTTGCAGGGCAATTAGGAATGGGCAAAAGTGCTGGTTTAGCCAACAATGGCCAAAACCCATGTATTAAGAAACAAAATATCAGTACTTGAAACTTTTTTCTCATGTGTCAACAAACTATTGGAAGTCTCAGCCAAGCCGCATTATCCCTGCCAACCCCTATGTTATTTTAAAGCACTACCTACTACTGTAATTATTTGATTTCTCTGGATGAAAGTTCTTTAAAGTAAGTCCTTACCAATGGAACGGATCCCATTTTTCACAGTACTTATGCTGGTGCTTCCAACACCACTCTTTCAGACATGAATTTAAACCACAGATCTGTTAATTCAGAGATTATTACCTTGGAGATGCTGCTTTATGATTTCTACCTCAGCAAAATCTCAATCCTAGTTCTACTTATGTATTTGGTTTTCATGGACTACAAAAACTGGATCCTTCCTGTTGACCTTCAAGTCCTGAGAGGATGCATTTTACCAGTGGCTAAATTGGGAATGTGAAAGGTTCCGAATTTTATCTGAAACCTACCATGCCATGGCCGAGTGTAATATTTCTCTTCAGCATGTCACTACAATCTCTCAAATGTTTGCCTTCTGAGTGCCCAATTGTACTATAATTTTCTAGTTGTTGAAACTTTGTTTCATCCTGGTATGTCCCTTAGCAAAAATATGTTTTCACTGTAACTCTCAGGGAAAAGCAGGAAGAGAGAGAAATGTAGGAATGCTCAACTTTTCCCTCTGATTGAGACCCAATTTTGTCCCTGCGACAAGTACACAGCTCAGCCTGTGGGCAACTTATCTGACTGCATTCTTCCTGAGGGAAAGATGGAAAGTTTGCTTGGCATGAAGATCCAAGGTGATATCAAGGAGTGTGGTCGTGGATATCGCTTTCAAGCCTTGGCTTGTCGTGATCAGAATAATAGACTTGTGGAATCAGGACGATGCAACAGACATGGTAAGCTGAAAGTAAATGAAAATGATTGTTAATATTTGTTTTGAATACACATATCAGTATGCAAAAGGTAGTCACCAGTATGATTTTTTTCCAACTTTACAACAAAATAAACTATTTCTGCAGTTTGAACATTAGAAATGGAAAGAGGTGCTATAGCAGCTCAAGAAAACAGTTTACCAACAACTTATGAAGCGCATTTAGGGGTGGACAATAAATGCTGGCCAATTTTCATATCTCATGAATGAATCAAGATCTGCATGGTGAATTTTTGTGACTATTGTAAGAGGATACCTAAATCCCTGCAAATGCCAACATTTATTGGTGCCTTTGCTTCTAAAAATTATTTTGTTTTTCAATTCAATTTACCAAAGTCAACAATTTCACAATTCTCCTCATGTTCCAGTTTGTCATCCTCACTTAACTGTTTTCTGTTCCTTTGCAGCCTCTTTTTTTTTATTTTCTCCTTAATTAACTTTATATCATTAGCAAATTTGGTTATATTGTACTCAGTACCGTTAAGCACTGGTCTCTGTGACACTCTGCTACTTACATCTTGCCATTCTGGAATTGACCACTTTATTCTCTATCCTGTAAATAATCCTCAATCCATGCTAATATATTACCCTGAATACCATGAGCCCCATGTTGGGATGGACTTAAAATAATATGGAAAATCTTAAGATAAATATAAGGAATGTAACTAGTAAAAATGTATTTCACTGATGTGGTTAATCTTGGAGTTAAGATGATGTTGAGTCCTTTTCATTTGTTGCTCCAAAATCTGTTGTGTTCAGATTTTTGAAAAGAGCCTAATGCAACCCCAGGAAAATCACCCTCCCATCTGTTCTACTTGCATGATTTAATGAAATTAGGCTTTGCATAAAGACTGCTAAGTTGATATCATGACTGAAAGCAAGAGAAGTTAAATTTTTAAATGCGTTCAAGCTAATTACCAGATGCTGGAGCATTAAACTGCAACCCCATCTTTCAGCTCCATATTGTTCCTTCAATCATAGCACATCTCAAACTCTTTCCCACAGTTCCTTTGCCCATAAGGAATACTCAAAATTACCAGTGAGATTAGTTTCCTGACATTTTTTTTGTGACCTTTGTCTCTGAGCAAATGTCACAACGATCAACCCTGTTTTCCCCTTTGAAAGTCTTTGATCCATTTTCCCAGGAACTGGGAGCAGAAGAGCTGGTTGACAATATGTATATGGCTCCCATGATATCTGTTTGTGAAGCATTCAGAAAACTGGCTTAGGTTTTCCAGAATTACTGTGCAAGGCATCACAAAATTTGCAGATGAATTGAAACATCGTAAATAGGATCAATTTAGTGACGATTTGCTTTGATTCTGATTTGGCTGGACGTTTTCTTCACGTGTACATTGTTAATAGAACTTTTTTTAAACCTTGTGAACCCTTGGCTCCTCAGTAGCATTTCAGTATCTGTTACGTTGAAAAGCTCTAGACCCTGTTTCCATGGAGGCCAGATTATTTTAATTTGCCTGGTACCAAATAGTATTAGTTAAGTGGGATGCACTGATTGACTCTTACTAAGCTCTTCCAATTCTGTGAAGAAAGGTTTTAAAAAAAGGGATTATTGGACTTCAGCATAGATAAATATATCTGGCAACCATATAAACTTCTTTGATATTCTATTAAACTATAATCATTTCAGATGAGGTGTGGAAGATTAGTTTAGACACATGTAACAATGCAAAAAAGTCTAACTATTGCAACATCGAATTTGCTCGAATTGTCAGCCAAAGTTCCAGAAGAGGTAACTTTAGATATTTACCATTTGGTCTTCTTGCTTTCAAGTTAGAGGTAGTATTTCTACCTGTCTGCTGACTTAGTGATAGTTTTCCTCATTCTTCCCTCTTCTACATGGGTGACACCAATTGTAGGATTCAATTTAATGTTCTGGTCTGAATCTACAAAGGCAAGAATTTCAAGAGTGAATTTTGAGAGTTGACCCATGCAGTAAAAAAAGTATCGTCTACACATGAAGACAACTACAAAGTAACATAATGTGCATGATAACAAGGTGTGGAGTTGGATGGACACAGCAGGCCAGGCAGCATCAGAGGAGCAGGAAAGCTGACGTTTCGGGTCTGGACCCTTATTCAGAAATGAGGGAGGGGAAGGGGACTCTGAAATAAATAGCGAGAGGGGGAGGCGGTGATAGAAGGTGGATAGTGAAGCAGATAGGTGGAGAGAAGATGGACAGGTCGAGGAGGCAGGGATGAAGCCAGTAAAGGTGAGTGTAGGTAGGGAGTTGGGAAGGGGTTTGGTCAGTGAGGAGGGAGGGGCGGGTAAGTGGGAGAGAAGACAGACAGGTCAAGGAGGCAGGGACGAGAAGGAGTGCTGGTCTTGGGATGAGGTCGGAGGTGGGGAGATTTTGAAACTCGTAAAGTCCACATTGAGACCATTGGGTTGTAGGGTTCCAAGGCGGAATATGAGGTGCTGTTCCTGCAGTTTTCAGGTGGCGGCGTTATGACACTGGAGGAGGCCCAGGATGGACATGTCATTCAGGGATTAGGAGAGGGAATTGAAGTTGTTCGTGACTGGGAGGTGTTGTTGTTTGTCGCGAACTGAGCGTAGGTGTTCCACAAAGCGGTCTCCGAGCCTCCGCTTGGTCTCCCCGATGTAGAGGAGGCCACATCGGGAACAGCGGATACAATATACCACATTCGCGGATGTGCAGGTGAACATCTGTTTAATGTGGAAGGTTTTCTTGTGGCCTGGGATGGAGGTGGGGGGCAGAAGGTATAGGGGCAGGAGTAGCACCTCCTGTGGTTGCAGGGAAGGGTGCCAGGGGTGGTGGGGCTAGTGGGGAGTGTGGAGCGGATAAGGGAGCCACAGAGAGAGTGGTCCCTCCGGAAGGCAGGTAAGGGTGGGGAGGGAAATATATCCTTCGTAGTGGGGTCAGATTGCAGGTGGCGGAAGTGGCGGAGAATGATGCTTTGAATCCAGAGGTTAATCCGGTGATATGTGAGGATAAGGGGAATTCTGTCTTTGTTTTTATTGCAGGGAGGGGTGTGAAGGCTGAGGAGCGGGAAATGCAAGAGATGCGGTTGAGGGCATTTTCAACCACTGTGGGAGGGATGTTGCAGCCCTTGAAAAACGAGGACATCTGGGATGTCCGGGAGTGGATCGCCTCATCTTGGGAGCAGATGCGGCAGAGGCGGAGGAATTGGGAATAGGGGATGGCATCCTTGCAGGAAGGTGGGTGAGAGGAGGTGTAGTCTAGGTAGCTGTGGGAGTTGGTGGGCTTGAAATAGATATCAGTTTCCAGGTGGTTACCAGACATGGAGACAGAGAGGTCCAGGAAGGAGAGAGAGGTATCAGAGATGGTCCAGGTGAACTTAAGGTTGAGGTGGAAGGTGTTAGTAAAGTGGATGAACTGTTTGAGCTCCTCATGGGAGCACGAGGTGGCGCCGATCCAGTCATCGATGTAACGGAGGAAGACGTGGGGGATGGGGCCAGTGTGGCTTTGGAAGAGGGACTGTTTCACATATCCTACAAAGAGGCAGGCATAGCTTGGACCCATGCGGATGCCCATGGCCACCCCCATTAGGCTGTAGGAAGTGGAAGGAGTTGAAGGAGAAGTTGTTAAGGGTAAGGACGAGGTGCATGATGGTGTGAAACAGTCCAAAAACTTCAAGCCCTGTTCTAACCCAATACTAACTAAATTGGAGAGAAATCAGTTTTCAGCACTGCTGATGTGGTAGTTGAAGTTATCTGTTTCAAGCCCATTTCAGATCTGTTGCATTTTCTTAAGCTTTGAATAATCATACTATTAAATGCTGTTGTCAAAAATCTCAACATTCAGAAAAGTTAACATCATCAACATTTTGGGAATGAAATTTCTCTTTTGTAGGGGTTTTGAATGAATGATGGTGGATCAGCAGCTAATTTTACAATCTTTTTTCCATTGACCTGAGGACTCTATTTTTACAGATAACTTTGGGGAAGTCAGCTACCAACATGGACCTGTAGTAGGTGAGAGTGTAGGCTATGGAATCAACCACATAACCTTATCTCTAATCTTGACTCTGCGTATTTATGGCTGGGTGTGCAGCATCACATGATTATCTTCTGTTCTATTTGTAAAGAGATATGTGATAACTTAAATTCAGTATTTATTAGTTCAGCAGGTTTCATGGCATTTTTGCGACCATACAAGCTGTCATAACACGGATACTATATTAACACGCTACCACTGCTTTTATAATTGTATTCTCCACCGACAGCTTATATAGAGGAGGCTTGCAACATCCCCTGCCCTTCTGACTGTAAACTTAGTGAATGGTCCAATTGGTCACGCTGTAGCAAATCATGTGGCAGTGGAGTGAAAGTCAGATCCAAGTGGTTGCGTGAGAAGCCATACAATGCTGGAAGGCCCTGTCCAAAACTCGATCACACCAACCAGGTAATAAATTTAATGCAGATTTTGCAAGCCTGTTTTTCAACATTTTATTAACTGTAAACTGTTCAGATGATCGTGAACTAGATGTTTGATTCAACCTCCCCAACTGGCGATTACAGCAATGACTAGGGTTTTCTTTAGATGTATCATCATAAAAGTGGAAGAAAAATGTAGGTGTCAGATCAGCAAACTGGCTCTAAACCAAATTTAAAATTAAAAGGTTCACGATCATCTACAGAAAGTATTCTGTCCCTACAATACCAGGCATAGTCAAGTTATAAATATTTAGAAGAAAATATGGAACGTTAAATTACTGAAAAAAGATTAAATGTAATTTTGAATCTCTTAAGGCTTGCAGAAGGCTGAGAGCTGTATTAACTACACAGGTGTATACAAGTACAATTTTTTTTTAAATTGTGTAGCATGTCCTTCATTTCAATATTTTACTTTCAGTTCAAACTCATCAATAGTGGATCAATGTTGTATGCAAATATGGAATCCTAAATTACTTCAGATTATCAGAAACTACTCTGATATTGTGGCACTGAACATTGAAATGGAGAAAGGAAATATTCAACAAAAAGTACTTAAGGAAACTCAGCAGCTCTGACAGCATTTAGAAAGAGAAACAGAGTTAATAATAACTGGGTTCCAAAGAATAATAACAAACTCAAAATGCTAATTCTGATTCTCTCTCCTTGAATCCTGCCAGACTTGCTGAGTTTCTCCAACCTTTCACATTTTTATTTCAAATCTCCAGCATTCACAACACTCTGTCTTTATTGTAGGGAAATATTCAAGTTCAGTACCCACTAGGACCCAATCCCATTTAGTCTGTATTAAATAGGGAGGTGTTTAATGGAGCTTGTGGAATAGGACAAGTACATTTAGAAAGGAGAGGCAGTCCCTCGTGTTTCTTGATAGTTGACTAAAGGGGCCATTTGAAATGTGGGTCTGTTTCGCCAATTGTTGTTTGTAGGTTTCCGGCCAGGCAGACAGAAAGGGAGAAAAAATGTATTCAAAGACCGCATAGAAATTATATTTTCCAAAAAAAAATTCATTTTTTCTTCTATTAAGAGCATTATTTTGAGCACAATATTAGCAGCAAGTAAAACATCAGAAAATCAATAAAACGAGTCAGTTAAAAAAATACTCCAGTGGGATTTGATGTCAAAACCTTTTCTTTAAAAATTATGTATAAGTAAAGTAAAAACAGAATAAATGACATAACATGTGACTCTTTGTTTAAAATCAAACCAACTTCTATCGTAAGTCTAATCCAGTGTTGCACCTTGGAGACTCATTACTTTGAAATGTTCAGCCAAGGCTCATTAAGAGATGGACAGCTGGAAAGCAACTGCTAAGATGTGTGTAAAGAGGAAAGGTTGATTTACTGTCTAAATAGATACTGTGGGAAAAAAAAAAATCTGAAGCTGTCAAGCAGGTGTAAGTCTGTTCCAGACATAAGGACCAAATAGAAATTTTAAGCCATATTTTGTCTACAGTGGTGGATAGCTGAAGTCCTGAACTGACTCGGATAATAATACCCTGGAACATGCAATCTTTACTCCCAGAGAGCAGATATGGGATGGTGTCAGGCCTGATGATCCTCAAAGGAGAGGGTAAACAGCCAGGAGGGTGGGTTTGTGCCAGGGTTGGCTGGCTAAAGACCCACCCTGTTTCTCCAGAACTTCATCCCAGGTGTTTTGAAAGTTACCCAAGCTCTAGCCCTCACTCCTCATGTAACCACCACCAACCCTCCCCCACCAAATACACATAACCATGGCACCTCGTACTCTCTGTGCTATCTTTTGCCCAGCAACCATCCAGCATGGAGACAGATGGAGGGACATACATTGACATGTGAATGGGGGTATGGTCATGAGGAGGAATATTTGAACTTGCTTTACAAAAGATTCCCTCGTGCAATCTATGTTTCGTGACCCCTCTGAGAAACTGTGAACCATGGCATTGTAAAAAGTTGGCGTGACTCCATGAAAGTTTTAGAGGAGTAGAGCTATTCCTATCCCCACTACGGAACAGCCAGATCAGGCATGCCCAAACCAACCCAGACCCTTCAAAAGCCCTTCTGAAAATCAGAAAATCTGGGAACTATGTCAATAGCCCCAGAATTGGGCCCTGGTTGTCATTTTTAAAAGGCTTACATGTCAGTTTGACTCAGTAAAAATCTGGCCCATGGCTTTGTCCTTGTATCTTGGTGGGTAGAAGTACCTTGTATGACCTCTACGTGTTAAATGGTTTAACCATTTCCAGCAAACATGTTCTCAATAAAATATATAACTCATCTGCTACACTCCTGCCAGAGCTGCAGCTGGAATACTGGGGAAGAGTTGTGAAAGGTTAATTTCAAATTTAAATGGAGCTGAAAGACAGCAAGAAATCCAAGGCTGAACATGTTCGATTTCCGAGGCTGGAATACCATATTCTGAGATTTATTGGCCTGATTTTAGAGTATGATTTAAGAATGAATGAGGACATACAAATTGTCATTTACTTTTAAACAATTATTTTTATAGAGAGTGACTATTGTGTTCAATAATAATTGTTCCTTGTTTTTTTTTGTGTCTTTCCATTGACAATTTGTGGGCTCACCTTACAGGCTCAGGTAAGTCAGTAAGTTTCACTGTAAGAGTGCATGTGTATATTGTCTACTATGTCTACATTCATATTTTATTATGTTCTTGCGCGGATTTTTGTGCTTAATTTCAAGTTGGAATTATTTTTATCCTTGTTTGAATTATTTCATTGTTGGATGTGTGATTGCAGTTGATGCATTTGAGAGACTGAAACCCCATACCACCACTTTATGTTAGACAGAGGGTGAGCGGGATGTGTAATCGAAGTGAATGTGACAGCTGCAAGAAATTCACGCTATATACACAGGACATTAACAAATTGTAGATGATAGTAAAGTCTCAAAAATCAATGCAATAAATAACCTAATATTACATACATAAAATAAATCTTGTTTCAGATAGATCTGATATGATGTTATATAGATGCAATTTGGAATTTTTGGAGTCTATTACGACATTTAAAGGATATATTTTGCAATAAATTGTTTTAGTCACATAGGAGTCATACCATTCAAATTCACACTTGAAACTTTACAAAATGGAAAAACCTGTTTCATTAGGAGAGCAATATAGTTCATGAAAAGGATGCATTTATTAAAGAATATGGCAACAGATGACTGAGGCCGTTATGGGTTTCTCAGGCCATAAGTACATTAAAGGCTTTGTCTATGGTTGGGATCTTCCTCTGGCATTGGTTACATTCCAGGTCCCATCTATGGCTCAAGTGAAAAGATTGCTGCTAAGATTGGATGCTGTGTGTTAATTCACTGTAATGCTGCTGACAATGTCTGTAGGACTATCTGGGATTCCTTCCTTAAGACTTCTACAAAACCCTTAGACACATCAACTGCTTCTATTCGTGAGATGCATCAAAAGCTAGATAGATTGGATCAGATGTTGGACAAAATTCACGACTGCTGTCCACTAAGAACAAGATCAGAGCAGCAGACGGGAGTCAGATGTCTAAAATCCAAGAACAGCACTACATGAAATGCTTCCATATGAGATATGAGAACTGAAGCTCCACGTATCAGTTCTTAGCAGACATTCTCCTGGATAATACTGTTACCTAGACATAAGTCTTTGATCAATAGAAGTTTAAAAACAGTGGCACCAACACTTGCTCAAGGAGAGTTACTGCATTATACATACATGTTTCAGGAATTCAGTATATGTTCTCCATTTATATCTCTTTCAAGTCTTTCTGTGCTCCCAGTGTGGGAAACCTGTACTCATTGTACTCTCTAACTCTTCTTGGGCTGCCAAAGAAGTACTCTGAAATTGAAGCTGTTTGTATATTCTGTTATTGTTTTCAGGCTGATAAATAAAGTAAATGTTTCATCTCCAACTTGTGAAAATTCGCGTAATGGTGCAAATCAAAGAGGAGATGGTGACTTTGTCATGCTTCCCAAGCAGTCTGGCTGACTGTTTTCATTGCCCGTGCAGACAGTGTTAACTCATTGTTTTAGATTTCCATGAAACCTGGCCAGCCTGTGTGGTCAGGCAATGACCATGGACATTTTAAGTCAGAACTTCAGTATTTTTTTAAACAATTTCAGCCCTTGAATGTGTTAGGTATTAATCAATGAAAATTCAACGATCAGTATACTTTGTATTCTATTTCATCTTGACAGTCTTCACATTAATGTATCTCAAAAAAAATCATTAAGGTGTCTCATCAATGTGATCTTAAAATAATTTAAAAAGTTCAATTTAATTGCCCTTTGCAAATATGTCCTGCATTCAAACTTGTGTTACATATGATCTGAGCTAAAAGGCCGAGAAGCGTCGGAGATTGAGGGGTGACCTTATAGAGGTTTATAAAATCATGAGGGACATGGGCAGGATAAAAAGACAACGTCCTTTCCCTGGGGTGGGGAGTCTGAAACTAGAGGACATTGGTTTATGGTGAGGGAGAAAGATTTAAAAGGGATCTAAGGGGCAACATTTTCAAGCAAAGGGTAGTGCATGTATAGAATGAGCCATCACAGGAAGTGGTGGAGGCTGGTACAATTACAGCATTTAAAAGGCATCTGGATGGGTATATGAATAGGAAGGGCTTAAAGAGATATGGGCCAAATGCTGGCAAGTGGGACTAGATTAATTTAAGATATCTGGTCGGCATGGACGAATTGGACTGAAGGGTCGGATTCCGTGCTGTATATCTCTATAACTCTATGACTTGTGTTGTTTAATAAATGGGACTGAATTTCAAAAGGGCCTGTTCTGGAGTAATCTTGACCAAACCACAGAAGTCCCAGCAAAATGACTTTGACATAAATGTTATATGCATGTATGCTGATTTTGTGTTTGAACAGTAAGATCATCATATAACATGTTAATTTATTTAACTACAGATAACAACTGTGTTGATATTTATTGACTCATCTGACAATCTTTGAGAGCAATTGTCATTATTATTTTAATCCACACATTTAAAAACACAAACATATTCTAGAGTTTAGAAAGATTTTTCTGAGATGTAGTATCACCCCAGGTAATTATATTTTGATTTATAAGTTTGACCTATTTGATTTTTGTTGCAGTGCCTCGCCAGGGACTGTCTAAACTATCATTTAAAAGAGTAGAAAGGTTTTCTCTTTCATACATTTCTGATAAAAGAAAAATGTTATCATTTAGAGGCTAATTATTATGTTCGCCCATTAAAATGACTAAAGTTGTTTTTAACAAGGAAATTCTTAAATATTGTGAATAATATTAGTTGGGGATGAGCTACAATAGTTAAGTCTAATTGCTAAAAATTATTTTTAAAATGCAGACACCTGTAGAATTAACATTTTTATTAAACTGTACATATTAACACATTCTCATGCTGTAGGTCATATTTTGAGAGGAAGTTTCTATCTGTCAGAGGAAAAGACCTGATCTACAGTAACCTCAATAACTTAGAAAAATGATAAATTGTGGTGTGCAGTGTCATAAACTGAGTATTATTCAGCAATAAACAGTTTAATCCTGGTCAAAAAATAAATAAACAGAAAGAAAAAAAATAGGTAAGACTAATTAGAAAGAGTTGTTTTAAAATACAGATACTGACATATGCAACCATAACTGAACTAACAATTCATTACATGTTAAAAATGACTTAATTAATATAGTACTATTTATTTTCAGTCATTATAATACTTCACATATTTTGAACAAATTCTACAGTGTGTCTTATAGTGTCTTTATCTTTCACTTCAATACAAAATTTCCAGTGTAAATCCAGAGTTAAGGCCATCCTGACCCTCATGTTCCTTCGGTTTGGTATCAAATGGAATGTGAATCATTTGGGCCTACTTTAACTTACCTGACATTAATTTTAAATGTTTAGAACAGAAGAATTTGTTTTAATGCTTGTTTTATATACTTCAGCTCTTGGGAGGAGAGCTCAGAATATGCATATGGACGCAATCCCATAGAAGTCTCTCCTGAGCTGCTGTTGAAGTTCTAGCCAAACAGGAGCCATGCAGTGTAAACAAAATATCCTCCAAACTTCGAAAACTCCGGTTGGCTGCAGTTAGACTCCTTTAGCTGCAAACATTATACTACAGTGAATAATTCACTTTTATAGAGACAGATTCAGCATATATTTTACAAGAGCGAGTATTTTATTTGAGTCTTCTTTGAACATAATGAAAGATTCCTCTTTTTGTACTTGTTTCAGTCACTGCTGTTCGAAAGATAGTTATTGAAGTCCCTGCAACTTTGCACAATCATCACCATCATTAATTCTGACATCCCTACTGCCACTTGTATATCTTTATGCCAATAATTATAGTTGGCTGTTTTGCTGCATCCACCAAGGTCATCTTATGCTTTATCCAACCTTTGATCTTGATTTTCCTCTGGGGCTTTCACCAAAGGCTCCTCAAATCAAATTTTGCACAGCTGCAATAATTATCCAATCCATCATGTAGCCAAGAGTAGCAGAGGGACGGTGCACTGCAGGCTTTTAGTTATAAATGTGTTGAGTTGCAAAAGAAAAACACTTCTGTTCCTCAGAGAATAGAAATCAAATGTTGAGCTGGGTTCTAGTGTGGTTGAACTGGAAGGAAGTCCCAAAGGACTAGTATTTGAAGTAACTATATTTATTAATGCCGGTATTGTGTGAATTATTATCATAGGTATATGAGGTGGTACCATGCCACAGCGACTGCAGTCAGTATGTGTGGATAGCCGAACCATGGAGCGTCTGCAAAGTAAGCAATGTGGACCTGAAGGATAACTGTGGAGAAGGAGTGCAAACACGCAAAGTGAGGTAAAGCTGATAATTTTTTATTTTAAAAATCTGATTTCATATTATATAGTTGTGTTATAGGCTGTTAAGACAGATACGCCAAACATTGCAATAATGATAGGTAAGCTAAATTACAAGTTTTTAAAAATGAATAACAAGTTTCAGGAGAGCTTCTCTATGCATGCCTACCAACACTGCCCCACCTACTGTAATGCAATTAGTTGGATCACTTCCTGGGTATTACATATTAACTATTTGTGTTTTCAGTAGTATGTTAATTAGTATTAAAGCAATTGAAGCAATATTATAACATCTTATCTTCTTAAATGGCAAAACGGTACATTTTATAAATGGTCAATATAAAGGACTAGGATAATTATGAACAATATTTACACATTGTAAGTGTGTTTAATATGTACAGGTGTCTGCTAACCTGGCCTGGTTTGGTAACAGTGACACTTTGCTGAAATCTGGAATGGTTAACTCCTTTCTCTTAACTCATGGATTTAGCTGACAATTATCTTGTACTTGAATGTTGCGTTGTCATCTACCCTAATTCCAGTCTCATAACTTGAGAAGGTGTTATTGATGCAGTAGGAATGTTGAACATGTTGCTACTGGATAGCTTTCACAGATGACATCTGTTCTTCGTCAACATTGCTGTATTTGTGATGGTCACTTAATAAGAAAATGTCTCATCACAGATCTTTGACACTTCCTCTGGGGCTTTCACCAAAGGTTCCTCAAATCATTTTTGGTTGAACTGTGGTTTCTGACTGCTTCTTCACTGCCACATTCAACACAGTTTTGTCCAGTTTCCTTTTAGACCATATGCCTGATTGGTGCCGCTGAATGCAGAGCAGTTTGTGGCTGACGCATGCGACAACAATTACCACATGCCTTGTGGTATCTATATGTCTTGATTAGCTTACCTACGGTTATTGCCGTTCTGAGAATCTGTATTGCCTCCTTGCTGCAATGGCTTCATATTTTCTGTCATCTTTGAGTAGATTGTTGATGTTGATTCTTGATCTTGTCAAGATTCTTTTGGAAAGCTTACATTGGGGTAACAGCTCCCTGATTCTCTCAGAGAGCTTGTGAAAAATTGCAATAGTTGCCTTTGTCTCAACATCCACTGATGAAGGTTTCTTTGGACCTAATGTGATGGCTTCCAAATTTAACCGTGACTCTTAGTTGATCTTGCAGTATTGTCCAGAGTTGAAATGGGCCCTTCTGGTTTGCTTCTGATGTCCCAAAGTATTGGTGCAATGGATAATGTCATTGCTAGTATTTGTCACGTTCTTTGATGATCATATCTAAAACTTCTGACTCCATATGCTGTTGAAATAGTTAAAATTCATGAAAGGCATCCTGAACCTTCCAGTCAACAACTGAATGTTTTATTATAAAGCGTGAATATTTGTTGCTTCTAAGAATTCATTTTCCAGGCATTTTTTCCCTTGAAACTTTTTTATTTAACAACTTTTCTTGAAGAAAAGTTAATACGAAGCTTCTGTGCCTGGAGTACAGGACTTCAGCCTTGTTCTGAGCTCTGTTGCTGCAGCACAGCCTTTCAACTGCTATACAGGGAGAGTCTGCAGTCAAGATTTACATGGATGTTACCAAGACTGGCAAGTTTGAGTTATAAAGAGAGGCTTGATTAGTTGGGACTTTTTTTCCCTGGCCCATAAGATGCTGAGGGCTAACTTTATAGAGGTTTATAAAATCAAGAGGGACATAGATAAGGTGAAAAGCCAAAGTCTTTTCTACAGAGTAGGGGAGTCCAAAACTAGACGGCATAGATTTAAGGTCTGTTTCCATGCTATATGACTTTATGACACTATCTGCCCATTGAGCTCTTTTCAACAGAAAACCTCAAATATTTTATCGCAAATGGTGCTGCTGTCTTGCAGCCCCAGTTTTAATCGATTTTTCTAGACTGATTCTGATTCAGATAAATAACTGTTTTTCTGATTGACTACTACTCCCATAAGATTTGGTTTTCAATTACTCACTTGTTCAGAATGCTGATTGTTGAGAGTCATTTTTGAATCTAGTCTGAAATATTGCTCCTGCTGCTGCTTCCATCTACTTTTATTGTTGCTCAAGGCTTTTTGACTTCTCCCTTTGTCTAAAATGTTGTACTTGTGATTATGTTGGACACCACTAACACATTAAGCATTTTGCATCACTGCTACACTGTTGTGTTTTTGGTTTTTAACACAAATATACTAAACACAAAAGATTGCTAAAATAAATGCAGGGATAATATAAAAGTATAACACAACTCAGGAGCACTCTGCTACACACACGTTTCCTAACACTACAACATTTGTCTCACATGTTATTTTGCCTCACTTCCTGTGACAATGTATACTTTTTTTATTCATTTGTGGAATGTGGATTTACTGCCCATCTCCAGCTGCCCTTGAGAACGTGTTGCAAAGCTGCTTACACGAATCACTGTGGTCCATTTCATGTAGGTAAGTCTGTAATACTGTGAGAGAGTTCCAGGATTTTGACCCAGTGACACTGAAGGAATGGCAATATTATTCCAAATCAGGATGGTAAGTGACTTGGAGGGGAACTTGTAAGTAGTAGTGTTTCCCATATATCTGGTGTCCTTGTCCTTCTAGATGGCAGTGGTCATGGGTTTAGAAGATGCTCTGTCAGGAACCGTGGTGAATTTCTGGTAGATGGTGCACACTACTGCTACTGAATGTGTGTGGACGTGGTGCCAAGCAAGCTTTGACTTGGATGGTGTCAAGCTCCTTTAGTGTTGTTGGAGTTGTGCTCACTCAGACAAGTGAAGAACGTTCCATCACAATCCTACTTGCACCTTATAGATTCTGGACAGACTTTGAGAAGTTAGGAGGTGAGTTAGCCGCTGCAGAGTTCCTAGCTCTTGTATCCATTGTATTTATAAGGCTAGTTCAGTTCAGTGTCTGGTCAATGGTAATCTCCAGGATGCTGATGATGGGGGATGCAGTGTGGTAATGCTATTGAATGTCAAGATTCTCAGATTATACTTAGATTCTCTTTTGTTGAAGATGGTCATTGCCAGACACTTAAGTGACACAAATGTTACTTGCCACTTTGTTACGCAAACCTGAATATTTTGGCCATGGACTGCTTCACTTGTGAATTGAGTAGTGAATGGTTTTGAATATAATGCAGTCATCAGCAAACACTTCTGACCTTATGATGAAGGGAAAATCATTGATGAAGCAGCTGAAGATGGTTGGGCCTGGGACACTGCCCTGAGGAACTTCTGCAGAGATGTCCTGGAGCTGAGTTGACCAACTTCCAACAATCATAACCACCTTACATTGTGCCGAGTATGACTTCAACCAGCCTCAATTTTCTTCCAATTCCCATTGATTCCTGCTTTGATAGGGGTTCTTATGCCACACTCATTTAAGTGTGGCCTTGATGTCAAAAGCAGTCATTCTTACCGCACATCTGGAGTTCAGCTCTGTTGCCGCTGTGTGAACCAAGGTTGTAATGAGGTCAGAACCCCTGGTGGAACCCAAACTGGGTGTCATTGAGCACTTGGTTGCTAAGCAGGAGCTGCCAGATAGCACTATTGATGATACCTTCTACCACTTTACTGATGGTCGAGAATAGACTGATGGTCAGTAACTGGCCAGTTTGGATTTGTTCAGCTTTTTGTGTAAAGGACATACCTGGGAAATTTTTCACATTGTCGGGTAGATGCCAGTGTTGTAGTTATGCTGGAACAGCTTGGCTAGAGGTTGTGGAAAATTCTGGAGCACTTACCTTCAGTACTATCTCCAGAATGTTGTCACTGCCCATAGCATTTCCATTATCCAGTGACTCTAACTGTTTCTTGATACAATGTGGAGTGAATTGGATTGGCTGGAGACTGGTATCTGTGATCTTGGGGCCCTCTGGAGGAGACCAAGATGGATCATCCACCCAGCACTAGTAGCTGAAGCTTGGTGCAAATGTGTCAGCTTTATCTCATGCACTGATGTGGCCGGCACGGTGGTTCAGTGGTTAGCACTGCTGCCTCACAGTGCCAGGGACCCAGGTTCAGTTCCATACTTGGACGACTGTCTGTGTGGAGTTTACACATTCTCCCTGTGTCTGCGTGGGTTTCCTCTGGATGCTCTGGTTTCCTCCCACCGTCCATAGATGTGCAGGCTAGGTGGTTTGGCCGTAATAAATTGCCATAGTGTCCAGGAATGTGCAGGCTAGGTGATTTAGGCATGGGAAATGCAGAGTTAAAGGGATGGGGTGGGTCTGGGTGTGATGCTCTTCAGAGGGTTGGTATGGACCTGATGGGTTGAATGGCCTGATTCCACACTGTAGGGCTTCTATGATTCTATGTGTTGGACTCCTCCAACATTGAGGGAGTGGATCCTTGTGAAGCCTTCTGCTCCGGTGAGTTGTTCATTTGGTCACCATAATTCATGTGTGTATGTGGCAGGACTGCAGAGCTTAGATCTGATCGACTAGTTGTAGAATTGCTTAACATTGTCTGTCACTTGCTGTTTATGCTTTTTGGTAGGTAAGTAGTCCTGTTTCGTAGCTTCCACCAGTTTCATACCTCCTTTTTAAGAATACTTGGTGCTGCTTCTGATGTGCTGTTCTGCATTCTTCATTAAACCACGGTCACTCCCTTGGTTTGATGGTAATTGTAGGGCGGGAAATATGGTGGGCCACAAAGTTACAGATTTTGTTAGAGTACAAATCTGCAGGTAGTGATGGCTCACACTGCTTCATGGATGCCCAGACTTGAGTTGCTAAACCCGTTCACAGACTATCCCATTTAGCACTGTGATGGTGCCACATAACATGATGGAGGATATCCTTAATGTAAAGATGAGACTTTATCTCCACAAGGACTGTTTGGTGTTCATTCCTGCTGATACTGTCATGAACAGATGCATCTGTGACAGACAGATTGGCGAGGATGAGGTCAAGTATATTTCTCTCCTCTTCCACTTGTTGGTTCCCTCACACACGTTGCTGACCTAGTCTACAGCTATGTTCTT